CTAAAAGGAAAAGGCTAGCGAGACACGTTGTAGCGGTGGCCACAGGGACATTAGTGCTAGCAGGAGTGATAGGGGGAAATCCCGTTAAGGTATTGGTGGACACGGGAGCATCAGTCACCATCATATCCACGCTCGTGTTCAACATGCTACCTATGGCTAAACGTTGCCTAGAACCAATACACAGTAAATTTGCTGTGGCAAATGGGGGTAGCTTGAGAATTGTCGGAAAAGTAAAGACAGAAATTCGCATAGGGGAAATTTGTATATCAGGCCCGGTATTGGTCTCTTCGTCGCTAGCATTTATTGGGAACTGATTATCTAGGTTAGTTACCCATTAGAGTCCTAATCGACCAGGGTAGTATAGAAACACCGTCGGGAAGACTAATGTATTTTTTGCAGCCAAACACAGAAACAGGGAAAACCTCCAGAGTACACGCCCTGGTAAAGGAATCAATGGTGATTCCGCCACTGGATCAAATGTTGATTCCATTTCCTATCGCTCACCGCTAATTACATCACGTTAAAACGCACCGATTATAGTATCACCACTAGGGCCAACTGTGAGGTGGCATTCATTAGCGGGGGCGGACAACATTTTGAGACGGAACCAAAGATTGTGCAAACATGTTATAAACATATCTGAGTGGGCAGTTACACTACAGATTTCCCCCGCAGGCAAAATACAGGAAGAAGTAGTACCGGGGGATATAAGAAGTAAAGGACGTGGTAGGGTCCCCCTGGGCGGAAGAAATAATTCAGCAGAACCCAGAATTGACCCAAGGGCAAAGAGATCGACTGGAAAAGTCTCCTACAGGAATTCGAGATTTTCAGTAAAGGCCCATATGACCTAGGGTGCACCGACTTGATGCAGCACCATATCGAAACGGGGAGTGTTCAACCCGTACGGGAGAATTCGTAGTCTGGACGCTTGCCCAGGGACCAACAAGCTACGAGGTGGAAAACATCTGGGCTGACTTATCACGGAGTTGTAAATACATTATCTTTTAGAAATAAAGACTTCACCTTTTAAGAATGGATGTCTCCAATGAGCTTCTTTACAAAAGTATAAAGTGTCCACACAATGCATGCTACTTTCCAAGCAATACATCCATGATATTGTGTTTTTCAAAGCAAAGTTGTTTGAGGTTGTAAAATTTCAGGACGTTTAATAAAACGGGAAATAAAATACAAACATTTTAGTTCCCCTGCGTTATTACTTTTTTCAATGTCATTTCGGAGCTACAGCCACATCTGCTAGACATGTGGCTTGTGCAATACAGGTAGTCCTCGACTTACGATGGAGATGCGTTATGACGACCCCATCGTAAGTCAAAAATATCGTAAGTCGAAGATGGCCTAGCCTACCCAGGAGTCTTAAAGAATGGTGATAAGAATTCCCTCATCAACACTCTGCACCATAGAACTCAATGCATATCCGACCAGGAACACATAGCCAGTGAACTCAAGCACATACACCAAGCTCTTAAAGCTAATGGATACTCCGACTACACAATCCGCAAAGCTATCACTCCAACCATGAAGAAGGACCCTCTTGAGGAGCCTTTCAAAACCATCACTTTACCCTACATTGCAGGGATCACAAAAAAGATCTCCAAAATCTTGAATAAACACAAGCTCCAGGTCCGATTCAACACATTACATAAAATCCGTGATCTGGTTCCGTCTGTAAAAGATGTGATTCCGGACATACAGTACCCTGGCGTCTACAAACTAAGTTGCCTCTGTGGTAGTAGTTACATTGGAGAAACCAAACGACATGTCTCGGACCGCATTCGTGAACACAAAGCAGACCTGAAACACGGTAGGACCAACACCTCGGCCGTGGCAGATCACTGTTATAATTCAGTAGGCTCACATGACATTGACTTCTCCAAGACAGAGGTTCTTTGCAAGCCATCTGGCTACTATGAGAGATTCGTTCATGAGGCTATCCACATATACAAACAGAGACAATTTCAACCGAGAAGATGGATTCTGGCTTAGCAATCATTGGAAGGATTTGATAAACCATTTAGGGTCTTAATTGATTGTTCACGCTTTCGGTGGCTTTCAGACCGCATCCATTATTTTCGTCTCCCCCCTCCTCTTTTCCGAACATAGACTCGTCCATCTGAACAAACTGTCAAATCGCTCTCCGTGGTGCCAACGTTAAAAAACCGCCACTTTTTTCAAATTTTCTTACTGTGGTTTTCACACCTGATGATGATTGCTTGTGTTGCAGTCGAAACGTCGTGAGAATTTTATTGTTTTATATTTTTATTATTTTATTGTTTCCCTTCTACGTGACTTTACTGAAAGAACCAAGAATATGAATCCCTGCAGTCACGATAACTTTAAATAAAAATTTAATGGTGATAATTTAGCAAAACAGAGCAATTTACAGTACCGTACTGTATAAACTATATACTGTATGTATTTATTAATTACAATACTGTACTGCACAGTAAAATGTAAAGTAAAAAACAAGGTAACTTCTTAGCCTACCTATATGAATTGCAATTTAATAGAAAGGCGGGAGATGCGTACATCCTGGCAGCGTCCCAACGTACAAGTATCGTACCTCGTACGCTGCTGTGTTTGCCTGCCGCGCGAAATTTAAAATATTTTACAATTTTGTCGTATCACTATCGCTATCGTAAGATCGAAATATCGTAAGTCGGACCATTGTAACTCGGGGACTATCTGGTACAGAATTGATCAAACATGTGGCTGGGTACAGGTATGGAAAGGGGGAGTGGTCGTGTAGCAGTTAGCGCGCTGTGCTACGAACATTGCCACCCGAGTTCGATTCCTGCTCAAAGGCCAACACCGGTGACAATGATCAGAATCGGTCGTGGGCCTCCCCTAGGTCAACTCAGCCTTAAACGAGGACCTGGTGTGGTGTGTAGAAAACATCGCCACTGGGGAGACAAAGACGGCCGGCCGTGGTGCTGGCCACCCACCCCCTCCGTGTGCCGTTCCGGCCTTCATAGGTGCTGCTCGCTAACAGCACTTGCCCCAACAGTCTGTTAAGGCTATACGGGGGGTCTTTGTCTTTAGTAAGAGAGCTGGCTAGCAAAATATCCGGGACGAATACAAGGGGTCGTGATGGAGAGTGAATGTATCAACTCGCTGCATCACTCTTAGTTTTTTAAGCAAATGTGTTAATGGTAACATATTTTAAAATTATACGTGAGATAATTGGACCATTAGCAAAAAATACAGATTCACGTTCAGATCAAGTATGGTAGAATACGCTACATTGCCACATTCACCCATTAGCGGCAGCTTATACATACACATAGATTACACATTTTTGGGGGGTTTATAGTGTTTATATATATTTGAACATGTTTTATATTTTCATGTAGAAAATATTGACGTAAAAAAATTGATAGCCATATTTTATAGCGAAGTGGCTTTTGTGGGAATTTATAGCAGCAGTCAAACACTTTAGAAGCAAGTCGATTCTAAATGTGGAGGGAATAACCGGAGGACCAGGAGATAAATATACACAACCACGGGGAGAGAGCCATGCAAGCACCAAATACACAGCAGCAGGCGTCAGGGTCAGGATCGAACCCACGACCTCCTGTAGACCATGCGAGGTAGTTAACATCTCCTAGCCACCGTGATGATGAGAGAGAGACACAGACCTCCTGTATACCAGGCGAGGTAGTTAACATCTCATAGCCACCGTGATGATGAGAGAGAGACACAGACCTCATGCACACCAGGCGAGGTAGTTAACATCTCCTAGCCACCGTGATGATGAGAGAGAGACACAGGCCTCCTGTATACCAGGCGAGGTAGTTAACATCTCATAGCCACCTTGATTATGATGAGAGAGACATACCTCCTGTAGACCAGGCGAGGTAGTTGACATCTCCTAGCCACCGTGATGATGAGAGAGAGACACAGACCTCCTGTATACCTCGCGAGGTAGTCAACATCTCCTAGCCACTGTGATGATGAGAGAGACACAGACCTCCTGTATACCTAGCGAGGTAGTTAACATCTCCTAGCCACTGTGATGATGATGAGACACAGACCTCCTGTATACCTGGCGAGGTAGTTAACATATCCTAGCCACTGTAATGATGATGAGAGAGACACAGACCTCCAGTATACCTGGCGAGGTAGTTAACATCTAGCCACCGTGGCGCCCCTACACATCCACCACGTAGCTCCCCAGCCACAGAGCCAGCCGTGAACAACAAACACGGTAACACCACCACATTCGTTACTAATCAATTGTGCGAGTCGTACTCAACCCCACCACACGCGATCAATCGGTCACCTACTGTAGTGAACTCACGTGTAACTGTGGTGAACCCACGAGTAACTGTGGTGAACCCACGTGCAACTGTGGTGAACCCACGAGTAACTGTGGTGAACCCACGTGTAACTGTGGTGAACCCACGAGTAACTGTGAACCCACGTGTAACTGTGGTGAACCCACGAGTAACTGTGGTGAACCCACGCGTAACTGTGGTGAACCCACGAGTAACTGTGGTGAACCCACGAGTAACTGTGGTGAACCCACGCGTAACTGTGGTGAACCCACGAGTAACTGTGGTGAACCCACGAGTAACTGGTGAACCCACGAGTAACTGTGGTGAACCCACGCGTAACTGTGGTGAACCCACGAGTAACTGTGGTGAACCCACGGGTAACTGTGGTGAACCCACGGGTAACTGTGGTGAACCCACGAGTAACTGTGGTGAACCCACGAGTAACTGTGGTGAACCCACGTGCAACTGTGGTGCTGCGGTGGACAGAGCCCCCCGCCCCCCCGGACCATCGCCTGATCCATAGCTGCACCGGAATCCAGAATACCCCCTGACACCCAAACACATAACACGGGCCAGATCCCCGGTTAACCCGGAACGGGTGGTAACCCGAGCCAAGAGCGAGTCCCCTTGAGAGCCGCGTGTCGACCCCACGCACGGTGGGGACCCCTTGTGGGGGGCTCCGTGGCCCCCCGCTCCCCTCCTCACCTGCCCGCAGCAGGAGCCGCACGCAGCGGTCGTGGCCGCCGTGTGCCGCGTGGTGCAGCGGCCTCCAGCCGCGGTTGTCGGCGGCGTCCACGGCGCGGCCTCGGCGCAGCAGCCGCGAGAGGAGCCGCGAGTCCCCGGCGCGGGAAGCGACGGACGCGGAGCAGAGCGCGTCCTCGTGGCTCTCTGAGAAATCCATGCACGGCGGCCACGACCGATCCCTCGACACCTCTCTGGAGCACTGTACAGCGCTCCCCTCCTTCTCTACACCCCCTCTACTGTTTACCCCCCTTCCTCTCCCGACAGTGAACATCAACAGGCCAAGCACAGGCGTGCGGGACGGCATGCGGCGAGCACAGCGCCATGCCCTGCTGCGCGCCGCCGCCCTCTGCAGGTCAGCGTGCGGTAGTGCAGCAGGGCGAACCGAACCCCCCGTGGCTTTAGAATGAGACGCAGCGGTCAGTGTGATGGCTCTCATCTGCGTACGAGGGAAGCCAATCCGGTGGAAACGGAATAAACCCCACGAACTGGATTTGAGCGATGGCTGGAAGATTGGAAGAGTGATTCGTGCTCCGTCAACCGGGATAAACGAAAACCCCGGATAACCAGGCCACTGGTAACCGAAGTTGTACTGTACATACTAATGGTGCCCTCCACGTCCATATAAGATGTAGAGTACTCTGGTTGTAACAGCTGTCATTTTTCACAATCTCTACCGTACACATAATTACACATTCGCAGTCTTTGCAATTACACTTTATTGAAAGTTTTGCTCAACATAGCAACCAGCAAAAACACAAATATGCATGTTTATGAATGAATATCGGAAACACATCGCTAGCATCCCGACACATACAGCGCCCAGTTAACACCAACACGTTTTATCTTATTGTGCACTTCAAATAATCCAAGCTCCTCACACTTCTCCGTCACTCATCTGCTGGTGGGCAGACATACGGTAGATGTTTTACTGCCGTTTAATTCTACAACTAAAGAGTAAATTAAGGTACGACAACGTAAGTGTGACTGCATGCGCAATGTGATGTAAACAGTTTAGATGGAGTGGCGACTGGTGACCCTGTCGATTACACGTGCACATGTTGGCTCTTAAGATTGATTGCTTTCCTTCTTGCAAGTTATGCGATTTGTTTTTGCTGATCTTGGAAATATAATTGTGGAGGCGTGGTGCTGTGTATTTAATAGTTCGTGTCGAACTAGGAGGGCCCATAATATCAAACAGAGGTTCTTTGAAGAAAAACAGATCTGGCAGTTCAGCATTTGCTCAAGCAAGCCTGACCCTGCTGATGAGACGGTGAATGTCGCCATTGGTCCAGAGTTCGTATGTATTGAACCATTGCTGCTGAAAATATGCACTCTTCAAAGACTGTGGCGAATGGGATGCGTAAAAAGTACTTTTATATTTGTATGTGGAGGGAGAGATGTGGGTGGGATGTGAATTGTCTGCTTAGTTTGTTGAAAACTCCCATTTGAGGTATTTTTGGGCTTAGTTGACCGTCTTTTTAAAAAATAATCTATTTGTTTATTTCTCTTCTTTCGTTCTTTTGGTAAAGTCACCTAGAATGAGAATAAAATAATAAATTGATAAAATAAAATAACAATAATATTCTCACGACGTTTCAGCCACAACACAAGCGGCCTTCATCAGACAGTCTCATCCCTTCACCTGATGAAGGCCGCTTGTGTTGTGGCCGAAACGTCGTGAGAATATTATTGTGTTATTTTATCAATGTATTATTTTATTCTTATTCTACGTGACTTTACCGAAAGAACCAAAGAAGATGAATCCTTGCAGTCACGAAAGCTTTAAATTGAAATGTTTATTTCTGTGAGGTGTTAATGTATTAATTCATGTTGGTGTGGTGAATAAGTCCAAACTGTGTATTCTATCAGAAAAATAATACCCATGCAGGAAGCTGAGAGAATAGAATATTGAAACTGGGTTCAGAAGTCAGTGTTGAATGGGTAGTCTTTGTGGTCCACAGCCCTGTCAAGAGTACACACAACACAACACGATAAAGCAATTCACACAATATAGCCAAAAATGTTGTTACACAGTTGCTGAGCACAGGGCCAAAGGCCCAAAACTTCAAGCGATAAGCAACAAACAGCACGATTAATGTTATAATATATAATAGTTAACATGGTTCTTAAAGCAAGGTGATAGCTTGAGAAAAGAGATGGGAAGGAATGCCAAATTGCAGCAGTGCAAGGGAAGAAGAGAAGTGTTGTGACTTGCAGTGTGGTGTTTATGATAAATGTGTGAATGGAAAAGCAGTCGGTACCCATGCTTTAGCATGGTATACGTTGCATTGTATTGACCTTGCATTATCAGTGGTGGCATGTTGACATTGTATGAAGGCCGGAGAATCCTCACATTGGTAATATTACATTTCTGCCCACAAGAAAGTCTCACTGAGTCTCTTGACTCTTTTTCAGGAGGGTCATAGCAAGATTTTGCTATAACTTCCAATAGTCATTTTGCTGGTAATTTTTTTTTAGTTGAGCCATGACCTTGACATAAAATGGATCTTGCGAATGACATCACAGCATTTTTTTACATCCACTGTGGAGATGGTGCATATTTATGAGGTTAATACACCCGCAGTATTAATCATGGCAACAGCTGGATTCACACTGTGAACCTACACAACAAGAGGAAAATACGCTACCGCTGGCCTGCATCACCCCCCCCCCTCCCCCAAATAACTCAAATGCTCGCAAGCGGAGGAGATGAGAGTGGGCACACGGCGAACACCAAGTGTCCTTCAGGCCAAATGACACCCGTCAGCCTGGCAGAACATTGGTGCCATGGTGTTATAGTGGCAGGGTGTGATTGTGTGATGGTGGCAAGATTTGATGGTGCCACGGTGTGATGTGTTTCCCAAAGTTACCACTGCATTGGGCAGGCCCTCCAGTTCTTGTTGAGGGAAGTCAAGGATTTCATGTCATCTGCAGTCAGCTCAAAATCAAACACCTGCGGACATGGATATCAACTGCATATTAGCGTATACCCCTACCAAAACCTCTAATGATTGTCAGAAGAATAGTGGGCTTTGTGACTGTACAATGGAACACAGCAAACTGCCTCCCCAATATAGTGCAAGTATGATGTATTTGACCTCACAGACTCCAGATACACATTGTTTATAGTTATTTAAATGTGCATGTTGGAAGCAAGTCTACGTTTGTTTTTAAGATGTTTTTAAGATGTTTTTCTTGTTCGTGTTTTTTTGTTTGTTGTGGTTGCACCCGATTCAAGAGCCGAATGGCTCACAGGGCTATACCAAAATAAATAAAACTGAAACGTTTTGAAGTGCATAAGAACTGATGGGAACACTCTTAAAAACATAAACAGCAATATTGCATCTCGATTAACATAATCAGTACATTACTAGGCAACAGGGTGGCACCTCACAGCAGGAAAGCCCTGAGTTTGATTCCTGATTCGGGTACCCCTTTGTGTGGAGTTTGTACGTTCGCCCCTGTTCTGTGTGAGTTGCCACCGAGTTTTCCAGTTTCCTGCCACAGCTAAAACATGCAATGTAACCGGTATTGGCCAAACATCCCAATGCTTAAAAATCACTCCATAAATTACTCAACTTCAATTCCACAAAGCAACATCTCCCCCTACTGAAAAACTTGGCAGGACTTCCTGAAAAAGTATTGAGACTCCTCTTGGTAAACAAACATAAAAAATGGTGATCATGGAAATGTTATCATGTAATACACAAAACAATAGTATCACTGTGGAAACGAAACAATACTCAATGATTATTTTTTGTTTTGTATTATAGAGTTTTACATCACACTGGGACTGGTATTGAACAGAGAGGAATCCTTGCCTATACACATCTGGCAGTTCATAGCATTTGTTCTGGAGTGGAAGATGGCAGCCTTCATGCGGCCCACTGTTTTGTGAGAAATCACGACAAACATCGATCATCGATCTCCCGGTCTTCAGAGAAAAGAATACAAGTAACGCCAACGGCCCTCTTCAGGGTCAAATACCGCACCAGATAGGCCCTGGGACAAGGAGTCTTCAACTCAACATTGCAGGACTCTCCCCAGCAGAGTGCGAGAATCTCTCGATCATAATGAAAACCCATAACATTAATGTCCTGACGCTCCAAGAAACCCATGTCTTGGATGCCCTACACATACCAGTCGCTACCACATCCATGGATACAACCTCACGACGAGCCATTACCACCCAAAGAATGGCTTAGCCTTCCCACCAACTGAAACAGAAGCCACCTACGCCACCTGCATCAAGAGAGGGGAGCTGCACATCATCAACGTGTACAAAGCCTCTAATAAAAATGGCCATTGCGAGAAAGCTGAGCCGTGGTTGCCCCGAGCAATGCACACATGCGATTGGTGGGGGGAGGGGGGAATTCTCATTCGCGTTAAAAATGCAAAAAAAATACATACAACGCTGAGGTAAATTCTTCACAGTGTGATGTCCTCTTCTCCCCATCCCAATGTGTGCAGTTACTACTATAGAGTCGGTAGATGCGACTACTATAGTCCGTATATACTACTGTAGAGCGGGTGGGGAGATGGTGAGGGGGTGGGTAGCGGCCCAGCCCCAGCCTGCCAAGATGCCACCTCGGCCGGGTGGGCAATCTAGGCGAGGCTGGGGGCTCTGCACGGGACTAGGCCTTCACCACTACACTCTGTGAAGTTAGTACTATTATAAAGTTGATATATACTACTAGCTTGTTTGCCCATCCTAGGACGGAAGCTGTAATATTTACAAAAAAATTTAGCAGAGCATAATTGTATCTTGTGTTAATTCAATAGGAGTGAATCTTGCACGAAAATGTCATCAAACACTTCACTGCAGTTCACTGTAGCACTGTATTAATGGCAGTGATTCTTGCCGGCGGAGGAGGACGAGGGAGAGACGGTGGCGGCCCTGCGGCAGTACCCGAGGATCCCGCGGGAAGCGGAGCGCCGACCCCGGCGCTGGGCACCTCGCAAGGCAGGAGATCATCCTCGGGTCACCGACGAAGTCATCTGCCATCGCTGCGGTCGAGAGGGACACATTGCCCGCGGATGCCGCAGCAGGCCAAGTGCGCCGGGGACGACCAGCCGGGATCGTCAGCCTCGGTCCGCGGCCGTTTCGACTCAGGCGAGTACTGACACTTCGGACACCCGGCCGGAACCATCCACCCCAGGTTCACTCCATCACGCATGTCATTCCTCGGGGGCAGCGGCTAGGATTCCCGCTGACGGTCCGGGCCCGTGACCGGACACAGTTAATAAGTGGTGTCGGTTGGCCAGAAGGGTGGTGGCGGCCACGGCTGGGACGTCCGTGTTGGTAGGCTCAGTGACAGGGGTTAGCGTCCGCGTGTTGGTTGACACGGGTGCGTCGGCCAGCATCATATCCCTGCGTGTCTTTGACTTGTTACCGGAGGGACAGCGTTGTCTCGCACTGGTGCAGACCAGGTACATAGCCGCAAATGGGGGAAGTATGGGGATAATGGGCCAAGTGGTAGTGCCGGTCCATATCGGGGAGCTGGAGGTACGTGCTCCGGTACTGGTCTCCAGTGTGCTCACGGTTCCCTCCTTCATGGGCACGGACCTGTTGAGTGACATGCCCCTTCGCATTCTGACGGACGAAGGCTGCGTTGACACCCCATCGGTGGGAGGGGGGGGGGGGGGGGTCGCTTGTATTTTTTGCGTCCAGACAGGGAACCGAAGCAGCTTTCGTGAGTTCAGGCGCTGGTCAGGACTACGGTCTCGATCCCGCCTGGTGCGCAGGCCTTGTTGCTACTTCGATATCGCACCCCGCTCGTTACCTCCCGGTCGGATGCACCGCTCATCGTCTCTGCAGTACCGTCGGTGGTGGGTCGCCATTGCCTAGCAGCAGCTGACACGCTCGTGCGCAGGAATCAGCCACTGTTCATGCAGGTCCTCAACACGGGTGATATACCCATTACAATTCAGGAAGGGACCTTGTTTGCAAATGTCAGTCCCATGCATTCGAACTCTGAGGCGCACACCGTCAACAATATGCAATTGGACGGCCCGTCGGTCGGCGCAGAGGACATGTCATGGATAGACGCGCTCCTGGCACAGAACAGCGATCTGTTGGCAAGGGAATTGGGAGAGCTCAGGACTTTGTTGAGAGGCTTTGCAGACGTGTTCAGTCAGGGTCCCTACGATGTTGGTTGCACGACGCTGATGGAGCACCAAATTGATTAGGGCGATGCGCCACCCATTCGGCAGAACGGCTATAGGATGGGTCCTAGCAAGAAGGAGCATGTGCGGCGGGCAGTGCAGGAGATGATGGAGCCAGATATCATATCGCCATCTACGAGTCCGTGGGTTGTACTGGTTAAGAAATCGGATGAGACTTTGCGTTTTTGCGTAGACTTCAGGCGGCTGAACAAAGTTACCTTGGCGGACGCCTACCCGCTCCCGCGCCTAGACGACTCATTGGATGCACTCGCAGGAGCAAAACATTTCTCCACACTGGACCTTTTGATGCCAAATCCAGGCCGAAAACAGCTTTCAGAACGCCTGAAGGTCTCTTTCATTTCAACTGTTTGCCGATGGGTTTACAGACGGCTCCCGCCACTTTCCAGCGATTGATGGAGCTGGTACTTGCGCGATTGCAGTGTAAGTCGTGCCTCATCTATCTCGATGATGTGATGGTGTTCGCTCGCACATTCGAGGAGCACTTAACCCGGTTGCGATAGGTGTTTTCGAAAATTCGTGATGCCAAGCTCAAGTTAAAACCCTCCAAGTACCATCTGGTTCGCTCCTCCGTTAAATACTTGGGTCATGTCGTTAATGCGTCGGGGGTCGCGACAGATCCCGACAAAACGGCGTGCGTCCGTCATTGGCCAACACCCACGTCCGTGTCTGAAGTCCGTAGATTCGTGGGATTTGTATCCTATTACCGAGAACTTTGTTACCATCGCCAGGCAGAGACCGACGCGTTCTTGACACTCCGCCAGCGGTTGACAGAGGCGCCACCCCCAGCATACCCCGATTTTTCGATTACCTTCCTGCTGGACACGGATGCGAGCGACGTGGGCATCGGGGCCATTTTCTCCCATATTCAGGAGGGGAGAGAGGTTGTCATTGCCTATGGAAGTCGCGTCTTGTCGCAGGCCGAGCAGCGGTATTGCGTTACGCGCCACGAGCTGCTTGCCGTCATCCACTTTGTTCAGCAGTTTCGGCCCTACCTATAAGGCCACGACGTCACTGTTTGGACGGATCATGAGGTATTGCAGTACTCACTCCGCATTGACAAAGCGACCGGTCAGATGGCCCGATGGTTAGAGCGGCTGCAAGAGTACACGTATCGAGTGGTGCATCGGAAACGAATCAGGCATACAAACGCCGATGCTTTGTCCAGACTGGCAGCCCCCGTTAAGTGCGCTTGTGGCGACGGATCCGCACGCTGTAGACCGCCGGCCACAGCGCAACCCGAGATCGTGGCGACGGTTTCCGCCGAGGACACGGACCGGGCAGGGCCACCGGTATGGCTTGGTAGTGACTTGGGGCCCACCCTGCGGGAATGGAGGGACCGGCAGCAGGTAGACACGGCTTTGGCACCGCTTCGTCGGCTGGCGGAGACGGCACGCGCTGACGATGTCCCCACGTCGGGGAAGTTTTTCCTCCTGTGGGAAGGTTTGTTGATGCGCTGGAACGCGACTGTGAACCATAAAGTTCTGGTGGTGCCCTCTTCCCTGCGGAGTCAGCTATGCTCCGATGTTCAAGTCCGACAGTTGCTCCATCTAGGCAGCCATAAGACCGAAGCTGCGCTACGCCTTCGCTATTTTTGGCCGGGCATGTCCGCCGATATCCGCCGTCGGGTATCGGCGTGTGCGGACTGTGCGCGCAGGAAGCCCCCGCTGGTCGTGCAAAGCACTCCCCTGCAGTCCATTAAAGTTTCCCGGGTAAACGAGCTCGTGGGCCTCAATATCTTGGGCCCCTTCCCCACCACTCCTCGAGGAAGTAGATACCTACTGGTGGGGATGGAGTACTTTACACGATAGCCCTTTGCCTGCCCGTTGGCCGACCAGACGGCAGCGTCCATAGCGGACGCCTTTGTAAATGGGTATGTCGCTGACAAGGGGGCTCCGGAGCGGCTGCTGACAGACCAGGGCAGAAACTTTTCCTCCAAGCTTTTACAGGTGTGTGACATGCTGGGTGTCAAGAAGGTGCGGACGTCCCCTTACCACCCACAAACGGGATGGTGGAATGCTTTAACCGCACCATCTCGGGGATGCTGTGTCACTTGGTCAATGACCAGCAGACAGACTGGGATTTGCACATCCCTGGGGTTTTGACGGCCTATCGCTCAGCGTCACATGCATCAACGGGCTATTCACCCTTTTTCTCGATGTATGGACGCGAGCCGAGCCCTCCGATTGAGGCACAGTTGCACCCTGTCCCGTCGCGTGCGGGAGATTGGCCAGCCACATTCCGCCACTCGCTCAAGTATTTGCGAGAGGCTCGCAAGGCGGCCTCAGCAGCATCCGCATCTGCACAAGCTACGAACGAACGCTTGCGTGCTAAGCCGCTGATCGCAGATCCCTTTGCAGTGGGTGACCTAGCTTGGCTGCACTGCCTGCAGGTACCGTTACGGACGTCGGCAAAGCTGACGTTCGTAACGGTCACAGTGCTGCAGGTAGTGCGACCTCAGTGTGTTCGCATTCAGATGGGAAAGCGTAGGTGGTATGTTCACCCCTCGAGGCTAAAACGTTACGTCGCGGCCGAGCTGCCCCTACGAGCATCGTCACCTTCACCACCTTCATCGTCAGTTCGGCCGGGTGGAAGAAGGTTGTCATACTCACGGCCTGCTATGCGTCTCACTGACAATGCAGCCACTGTCCATCCTGCAGGACTACAGGTGACCGGGACGCCAGCACCGGACCCATCGGCATCCGTGTCTGAAGACACAGCCGCAGCATTGGCCGAGGACTTGGCACAGGATGGGGCCCTTTAACCCGCTCACGCTCACGCCGCCTCGTCGCAGCTGTGGACACGGACATCCTTCCAACCCTGCTGTGTTCGGTCGAGGGATTGGATCGTGGGGGAAGTCTGCGACAGAGGTGGCGCTCTTGTTAACAAGGAGACGGAGGGGGAATTGTGTTGTGTTACTTTTGCTTTATTGCACTTTTATTTGTTATGTTACTTTTGCTTTATTGCACGTTTTGTTGTTGTTGTTGTTTAAATTACATGCGCCCGGCCGCAGCTGGCTTTGAACGGCTGAAGCATACAGTTGTTGAGCCGAGGACGGTTTTGTCTCAAGGGGGGGTGGGGGGTGATGTAAGGGATCTGCGAGCCACCATCACGCACACGAACCACGCAGATATGAAATCTCCGCACTCAGTATAACACGCACCAATCATACACATGGGCATACACTAGACGGGGGTCAAGGGTTAGAGGGCACTGACGTCACCCGGACCAGGCGTGCGAGATGAGGATGTGCATTGGGAACGAGGGTGGAGATGGAGGGGTTAAAAGGGGCTGTGAGACGCGTGTTCGGGGTTGGTTTTGGAATGAGTGTTGCTGTGGGTTGGAAAAATAAAGAAGTGCTTAACCAGTCTCCGACTCCTCTTCACTATTATGAAGTCGGTAGATACTACTGCAGTCAGTAGAAACTACTGTAGAGTCACTAGATACTACTATAGAGTTAGGAGTTACTACTATAGTCAGTGGATACTACTACAGTTAGGAGATACCACTACGGTCAGTAAATACTACTACGGTCAGTAGATACTACTGTAGAGTTAGTAGTTACTACCATAGTCGGTAGTTACTACTATGGAGTCGGTAAATACTACTATAGAGTCGGTAGATAGTACCGTAGAGTCGGTAGATACTACTATAGTCAGTAGATAATAGTACAGTCAGTAGATACCACTACAGTCAGTATATACTGCTGCAGTTGGTAGATATGACTATAGTGTCAGCAGATACTGCTATAGTCTGCAGATACTACCATAGAGTCAGTAGTTACTGCTACAGAGTTAGTAGTTACTACTATAGTCAGTGGATACTACTATAGTCAATAGATATGACTAGATTCAGTAGATAATACTATAGTCATTAGATACTACTGTAGAGTCAGTATTTACTACTATAGAGTTGGTTGATACTACTATAAAGTCTGCAGATACTACTATAGAGTGAGCAGATACTACGATAGAGTCAGCAGATATTACTATACAGTCAGTAGATACTACTGTAGAGCCAGATACTACTATTGAGTCACTGGATACTACTCACTCTATTGTATGTAGGGTGTGTGCCTACGGGGGGGGGGGTAAAAATATTTTTTGAGGGGAGGGGGGGGTCAACAATTTTCAACTTTCGGAAACCTTTTAGATCAACTAGTTACCCGCCGCTTTCTATTACTTTTTTATTACAGGACTTCTGCAAGTCTCTTATAATTGTGTTGATGGACAAATGGACAAAGAGGCACGCCGGGCTTTCACAATAGCTTAGTATTTGTGTAAGTATATGTTATGTTTTTAAGATAAGTTTTGAAATATATTTTTCCCACGGGCAACGCCATGTACTTCCCGCTAGTATAAAATTATCATTGGTTCAGATAAGCCTGACTGCTGACAAGACACTGAATGTCAAAACCAGTCCATACTGTTTTTGTATGTTGCTGAAATTATGCGCTTCCAGAAGAACATATATGTGGCTGAAGGGATGCGTAAAAAAAGTATGTTTTAATGTGAAGGGGGAGGTATGCAATGGAAATGCATAGTCCATGTGTTGATTGTGATCACAACAGACCTGTATGTTCTCATGGATGCGTGCCTTTGTCACAGACTTTGGAATCACCATCACTCCTCTTTGTACATGGAATCGGATTAGAACCTATTCCAAACAAAAAGCATCAATATGTAAATGTACAGCAGCACTCAAACACAAATGTATCTTCCATAATAGAGGTTTTTTTGGGTTAGATCGCGTAAATATATAAATGTGTCGTTAAAACCCGCCACCACCCGACACAGCCAACTAATAAGGGTTGTCACGTAAACAGACCATGCCAATTCGTCACTAGTACAGTAAATTTGATCTGGCTGTCGCCTGATGAAGCTAATTGCAATTACTGGTGAAATATTGTACTCAGATTGTAAATGTTGTGGCTTGGCTCTCCAACACACCAGTGTGCTGTACTAGTGACGAATCGGCATGTTGTGTTTACGTGACAACCCTTACAAGTTGACTGTGTCTGGTGGTGGCGGGTTTTAACGACACATTTATATATTTACACGATATAACCCAAAAGACCTATATTATGGATAGAGGTCGTGAAAGCCTAGGTGTTAAACTGACAAATGTATCTTGCAGGAACACATAAGTACTCCTCCTGTGTATGCGTATGAGGTGGTGCATGGATTTATGTATGCGGTAATCTGCTACCTGTGCAGGTGTCTTCTTATGCTTCGATGCAATCGCACATACGCACGGATCTTCCAGTAATTTGGGCTCATTCACAGAGGCCCTGCGCGACAACGCAAAGAGATCTCACAACACTCAGCGCGTGGCACAGCTGTAGTACGCATGCCATGCTCAACACATACGGTGTGGACGTCAGCGTGAAGCATGCTTATCACACTCATTACAAACACAAGTGCACTCTAACAATGGTCGCCAAAAACATTGCTATAATCTACGCTGCATGGAATATTACAGATACTGCAGGACTAGACAAGAGGCAATGTTATTTTCTGAGATCTTATTATGACAGTCAAATCAAAGTGATTTCCTGCTCAAATGAGAATTGAGGCGGTGTTGATCCTGTTTCTAGTTTTGAGCTCATGGCAGAATGCCCACATTACTAAATTGGGCACATGTCTATCCATAAGACAGACATACGCAGTGGTGGTGCATGCCTGTAATCTAGCACTGTGGAGGCGAGGGTTGGTGGATCGCACAATTGTTGTGAAAGTCCCTTCTCGTGGGCGTCGAGGAGGTGCCATACCTTGGCTTGCCAGGTGAAGTCAGTACAGATAATGTGGACTCCATCTGTCCTCCGTAATAGAGATTTTTTTGGTTAGATCGCATACATATAAATGTGTCGTTAAACCCGCCACCACTCGACAGCCAATTAGTAAGGTTTGTCATATAAACAAAACATGCTAATTAGTTACTAGTTCAGCACACCAGTATGTTGAAGAGCAAACTCACATCATTTCTAATTCGAGTATGACATTTCGCCAGTATTTACAACCAGCCTCATTAGGTGACAGCCAGAATTGTGGATAAATCCTCCAGTTTTGGTCTTAAAGAGGAATAAATGTAATGTCATAACATTTATACTTACATTTACATTCACGCGATCTAACCCAAAAAAAACGCTTAGTATTGGTCGTTAAAGTCTACATGTTAAACTCCATCTGTTCTATTGGTATGGGATAAAGTGTTGTTCCCTCGCACGAGGGTTTTTTTTACAGGTTCTAAGGTTTCTTCCCACATGTAAACACTCAATAATTGGTTGAAAACACCTTAAATATAGAAAGGACTGCAGAGCTTGGACAACTGGTGGTAGCTCATTATCTGGTTTCTTTCCTCCTTGCTTGTGTTTCCTCATACTCCTCAGTTGTTCGGAGAGTCAGCAAATACTGTGCGCATTAGCAGTTGAAATTACATCACAAGTGATACTTTTATCGACCCCAGAGGGATGGTCAACTGAGTCAAGCTCATGTTTCAATAGCTCTGTGAAAGTGTCACTATTGTTTGGTGCCAATGTTCTTCGTGCCAGTTTCTTTGCTTAAATGCCGCAGCAACTCAAAGTGCTTTGCATCTCATCTCAGCACATTTTAAGGGGTCCCCTGTTACAGCTGTCGCTGTGCGGTACAACGTAACTCAGTGCTCGCCTGAGAGCAGTCTACCAGAAGGGGGTATGCTAATGGTATGTTTAATCCCAATTTCAGCAATTTGCGAGTATTTTCTTTTGGCAAATTAAAACCACGATGCCGGCACACAATGGCCGACTCGCTTCAAAGAACATCGCGTGATTTCTAAAGTCCGCTGCGAAGCGAACATTTCGTGGTATTGTATAGTTAATACACCGCAGTATTAACCAGGGTGGCCTACGTCGGGCCACATCCCCACCCGGTGTTGCGGGCGACTGCATTGTTGTTGTGTGTGCAGGCTGCTATTGTTGTCTGCTGTAGGGTATGAACATCAATAGTCATGTGCGAGGGTTATCTACCAACTACGATCGGGGGAACCCAGCGGGCTGTATGCCGTCACTTCAATTCCATGTTCACGACAAAATGCAATCAGCCGGTCTTGAGTCAAGTAAGGATGGCTCTCTATCTGCACACGTGCACACATACAAAGACGCAGATCAGGGAACCATTAACAGCTTTCTCCTTCCTGGTAGCCTGAAACGTTACCAGAGACACTATCACAGAAACAAATATCTACATCAATGGAAAATGACAAACTCCTTCCATCTTAAAATGCAAATTTTTACTTTTTCTTCTTTTAAAATGTGGCCAACAGGTATGATATTTGCTGTATAAACACGCACTGTGTACTTTAAAGAATATTACTCTCTGGTTCTTTCGGTAAAGTCACGTAGAGTGTAAAAAATAATCAAATAAAAGAATACACGTTTCAGTCGCAACACAATCGTTCGTCTTCAGGTGAGAAAAAATTATCTACTGGTGTGGCTTTATATAGGGAGGGGAGAGGGAGGGGGGGGGGGAAGGAGTTTGGCTGTATGAGTTCACAGGGGAGAGGGGGGAGAGTTTGTGGCGTGCAGGGACGGGAGGGGGCTAGCACCAGGGGGGAGAGGGGGGTGGGTTTGTGGCGTGCATGGACGGGTGGGGCTAGAGAAATTAGCAAGTAAATGGACTTGAAGTACAAGTAGTAATCGGACGACAACCGGGTGGGTGAGTGAAAATCATAGCAGTTAACGTGACGTGGTTTATCACATCCTTCCAATGATTGCTCCATCTGAATCCATCTTCTTGATTAAAGTTTTGTCTGTGTTTGTATATCTGGATGGCTTCATGAACAAATATCTTAAGGTGGCCCAAGGGTTTGCAGAGCACCTTGGTCTCGGAGAAAACAATGTCATGTGTCCCCACAGCATTGAAACAATGATCCGCCACCGCCGAGGAGTTGGTTCTGCCGTGTTTCAAATCTGCTTTGTGTTCGCTAACCCGGTCTGAGACACGTCGCTTCGTTTCACCAATGTAACTGCTGCCGCAGACACAACTCAGCTTAAAGACACCAGGACATTGCATATCCGCAATCGCATCCTTCACCGATGGGATAAAATCACGGAGTTTGTGTACTGTATGGAACCGAACTTGGATCTGGAGTTTAAGATTTTTTTGCATGTAGCATAGTATCGACAAGGATCGATTATTGCAACTCCCTACTCTACGGGACATCTGGCAAATACATTACCAAGCTGCAGCATGTGCAAAATTCTCTGGCACGTGTCGTGACGGGTATTTCAAGGTCCGACCATGTCCGTCCAGTGCTCGCCGAGGTTTATTAGCTTCCAGTTGCCAAACAAATACATAAGGTAGCACTCATTACACACAAAGTGTTTGCTATAAATGAACCACAATACCTTGCTGATCTTGTCAAGGAGCATAAACCATCATGCGAGCTCAGGTCATTCTCGCAGCGGCTTTTGGCTAGCCATCAAACAAAGACAGTCACCGCATCGCGCGCTTTCAGATGCACTTTTGCGGCTGTCTGAAACGCTCTTCTGATATTAGGAAGTCACCAAAGCTATGCACTTTTAAATCTAAATTGCATAGTTTGTCCTTCCCCCACCTCCAATTAGCACGGTCAGCTACATACAATGCGAAAGAAGTTCTACATACATACAGTAGTGTGCTAGCAGTCTATGCATGGCGTAGCAGTGTGGTATGCTACCTTCAAATATTTTTCAATGAAGCTATCCAGATATATAAACAGAGACAATTTCAACCGAGAAGATGGGTATAAGCTGAGCAATCATTGGAAGGACGTTATTAACCAAGTAAAGTCGTAACTTGCTGTGCTGCTTCCATCCTTCCTGCTGTTTGGCTGTTTTCTGCGACTCTCTGAGTTGCATTGCCCTGTTGGGTGCCTCTGCATTAACGGGCTGGGGTCTCACTAACATGGCCACCTCTGCTCCCTTATCCTCAATGTATCGATGGGTCTGGCTGTGTGATGGGCTGTGTGTCTCACTGGCGCGACCACCATTGTGGTGGTTCTCTTGCGGCAGCGCCGCAGCTTGTGTTACACATAGACATGACATTAACTTGCTGATCTCCCTAATCTCTCCCATCAACATAGTGCTAATCTCCCATTAACACTGCTGTGCACATATGCGGCGACGGTGCTCTTATGCGGCGACGGAATCTCATTTACTTTGACATGCTCATCTCTCTCCCTAATCTCTCTCCCCCTAATCTTCCCCCATTAACACAACTGATGTGCTTGTGTGCGGGGATGGGACTCCTTTCCAGCTCGGACCCCGCCTGCTTGCCCTTGGCCAACATACATATTGTAGCAGCTCTCTTGCTGTGTTCTTCCTGGTTCAGCAGTTCTACTGCTCGATTATTTTTTCTGCCTGAGGACGATCGCTTGGGTTGCGATCGAAACGTCGTGATATATTATTTTATATTTTATTTTATACCTACGTGACTTTACCGAAAGAACCAAAGAGTATGGATTCCTGCAGTCACGAAAGCTTCAAATCAAGTTTGTGTGCTATGCTGTGCCAGGTTCATATTGCTGTCGTGCCAAGTGTTCCCTGTAGTCAGGTGTTCACGGTCGTGGGTGTGAGGACGGGTTTGCGTTTGCAAAGTATGATCTTCAGTTTTTATTATAGTGTGCTGATCTTTAAAGGTGTATTGAACATTTTTGATTCTGCTGATACTCCTGTTGTTATGGAGTGACTCATGCAGCCAGCTATGGCTGCAAAGTTTGATTGTACATGTTATGTATAACGTATATTGTTAAATTTGAATCACAGTTCCTATGATCACTGTTACACTGTTTTTATCGCTTTATTTTGGTGATTTTGAAAACGTTTTGGTTTAGCCAAGTTTGTTTGTTATAGTACAGAGTTAGCCTGATAACTTTAATCTACATTGTCTTATGGTTGTTATTGCTCGACTTGCATCCCACTGGGATTTTTGCAGTGTTGAATGAAATACGGTGTTTTTTCTGGAAGACTTTGCTGTTTTTTCCTGAATTTTTCTGTTGCATGTAGTCACTTTAAGATGTTTCTTGTTCATGTTTTTGTTTTGTTACGGTTGCACCCGAGTTAAGAGCCGCATAGTTCACAGGGTTATACCTAATAAATGAAACTGAAGGTGTGTGTGTGGGTATATTGTGGCCAATATTACAAGTGGAGTGCTATTCTGATCATGCAAAACAGTTTGCATAGGGACGGGCATGTGTGGGTTTTTATTACATTCCCTGTATGTTTCTGGGGGTGTGGCCAAGGCTGCCACAACCACACCTCCCCTGACTTGGTAAGAGCCAAAATAAAGCACTCAAATCCCTCAATCCATCTCAGCCCTGGTTTGTGCTCCCGTACCTGCCTTGGATGGGCTAACACCCTGCACCATACTTCACCGTGGTGGACTCCTTTGTACCGTGATGTCAAATTCAGTACCCACCATCACAGTTAATTATACAGATGGTGAACATTGTTTAATTAATAAGAATATAAAATTAGTAACTATTATGTACTGTACTTAGGAGTGCATTCTAGCAGTGGGAGATGAGGTTGGAGCTGCTGCACTCCCAATCCTGGACATTCTCAGAGAAGATCTCCAGGACCTCTGAAATCTTAGTGATTGCCTGAGTAAAAATTTTTGTGGTGAGGTTTATTTTAGGTAGAACTTGAAAGTCTATCCTGGTCTTGTGAGTTCTTACCTGGCTAAACGTACTATAACACTGGTAAAAAATAGATCATATTTTTTACGTAACCGTGAACACGAATCGTGATAATGAAACTGCGGGGGTTGGGGTCTCATTGGCTCAAAGCGTCCACCGCTATAATTGGCTGAGCCAATGATGGGGGTGGGTACGTTTCCTCAGCCGTGTATTCTCACTTGTCAGCGCTGTTTCGATTTTTGGGATTTTTTTCTTCTTTGTAAAAATTTCTCCAGGACAAAGGGCAACGAATGGACATTCTACAGAGTCGTGCTAAAGGCTGCCTGTATATGTGTACGAGTGTGTGTATATGTATATTAGTGTCATTATGTGTTTCTATGTGTGGGTATCTGTGTGTATAAGGGTGTATGTACACAAGTATGTGGGGAGCGATAGCTGCGCTACGAACCTGGCGACCCGGGTTCGACCCCCGCTCATGGCCAACACCAGTGACGATTATCTCTGAACCGGTCCTGGGCCTCCCCTCGGTCGACTCAGCCTCAAATGAGTACCTGGTGCGATGTGTAAAGATCGCCACTCGGCAGACAAAGGCAGCCATGTGTGGTGTTGGCCACCCACCCTCTTGTGTGCCATACCGGCCTTTATTAGGTGCTCGCTAACAGCACTTGCCCCCACAGTCTAAGGCTATATGATGGATCTTTGTGTTTTTTTGTACATGAGTATATATATGTGTGTGTGCGTGCTTGTGGAGCCCCAATGTGGTTTCAGAAAATGGCGGTCCTGCACAGATGCCATATTTTCTGTCCGTTTGCTACAGCAGAGATGAAGGGAATTCCAACAAGACCTACATCTCTGCTTTATTGACCTGGTCAAGGCCTATGATACCATCAGTAGGCCTGGGCTCTGGGTTGTTCTTCGTGCTTTCGGAGTCCCTGACCTGCTGCTCATGATCATTAAGGACCTTCATGATGGTGAGCGGGCCCGGGTAAAACTACGTGGCCGGGAGTCGGAGCCATTCCCTGTTCACCTTGGGGTGCGACAGGGATGTCCTCTAGCTCCTACATTACTTAACATCTTTTTCGACCACGTAGTTTGTGAAGCCTTCAGTAGCTGTACCGGAAGAATTTCCATCTGGTACAGACACAATGGGAGGCTGATCGATGCCCGGGTGCGGTCAAGGGATGGCTCCCTATTGGTCAACCACGTTATGTATGCCGATGACCTGGTAATTGCGGCTCACTCAGAGGACGAGTTGAAGGCGCTGCTGCTGAAACTGGAGTGTGCCACTAAGAGGTGGGGACTTACCATCAGCCCCACCAAAACGAAGCACCTGCCTGCGCATTTTGCACCATCGGGCACTCCACCCCCACAACTCCCAATTGGTGATGGGGCAGTTGGGGAGAGAGTGGAGAGTTTCCCATACCTGGGCAGTGTGCTCATGACTGGCTGCGGTTTAACAACAGAGGTCTCACTCTGAATCAGTCGAGCGGCATTATCTTTTCATCGGTTGCGTAACGCTGTGCAGAAACTACAGTGAGGGAAAAAAGTATTTGATCCCCTGCTGATTTTGTACGTTTGCCCACTGACAAAGAAATGATCAGTCTATAATTTTAATGGTAGGTTTATTTGAACAGTGAGAGAAAGAATAACAACAAACTCCAGACAAACGCATGTCAAAAATGTTATGAATTGATTTGCATTTTAATGAGGGAAGTAAGTATTTAACCACTCTGCAAAACATGACTTAGTACTTGATGGCAAAATCCTTGTTGGCAATCACAGAGGTAAGACGTTTCTTGTAGTTGGCCACCAGGTTTGCACACATCTCAGGAGGGATTTTGTCCCACTCCTTAATGACTTCTCCAAGTCATTAAGGTTTCGAGGCTGACGTTTGGCAACTCGAACCTTCAGCTCCCTCCACAGATTTACTATGGGATTAAGGTCTGGAGACTGGCTAGGCCACTCCAGGACCTTAATGTGCTTCTTCTTGAGCCACTCCTTTGTTGCCTTGGCCATGTGTTTTGGGTCAGTCATGCTGGAATACCCATTCACGACCCATTTTCAATGCCCTGGCTGAGGGAAGGAGGTTCTCACCCAAGATTGAAAATACATGGCCCCGTCCATCGTCCCTTTGATGCGGTGAAGTTGTCTTGTCCCCTTAGCAGAAAAACACCCCCAAAGCATAATGTTTCCACCTCCATGTTTGACGGTGGGGATGGTGTTCTTGGGGTTATAGGCAGCATTCCTCCTCCTCCAAACACGGCGAGTTGAGTTGATGCCAAAGAGCTCCATTTTGGTCTCATCTGACCACAACACTTTCACCCAGTTGTCCTCTGAATCATTCAGATGTTCATTGGCAAACTTCAGACGGGTATGTATATGTGCTTTCTTGAGCAGGGGGACCTTGCGGGCGCTGCAGGATTTCAGTCCTTCACGGCGTAGTGTGTTACCAATTGTTTTCTTGGTGACTATGGTCCCAGCTGCCTTGAGATCATTGACAAGATCCTCCTGTGTAGTTCTGGGCTGATTCCTCACCGTTCTCATGATCATTGCAACTCCACGAGGTGAGATCTTGCATGGAGCCCCAGGCCGAGCGAGATTGACAGTTCTTTTATATTTCTTCCATTTGCGAAAAATCACACCAACTGTTGTCACCTTCTCACCAAGCTGCTTGGCAATGGTCTTGTAGCCCATTCCAGCCTTGTGTAGGTCTACAATCTTGTCCCTGACATCCTTGGAGAGCTCTTTGGTCTTGGCCATAGTGGAGAGTTTGGAATCTGATTGATTGATTGCTTCTGTGGACAGGTGGCTTTTATACAGGTAACAAGCTGAGATTAGGAGCACTCCCTTTAAGAGTGTGCTCCTAATCTCAGCTTGTTACCTGTATAAAAGACACCTGGGAGCCAGAAATCTTTCTGATTGAGAGGGGGTCAAATACTTATTTCCCTCATTAAAATGCAAATCAATTTATAACATTTTGCGTTTTTCTGGATTGTTTTGTTGTTATTCTGTCTCTCACTGTTCAAATAAACCTACCATTAAAATTATAGACTGATCATTTCTTTGTCAGTGGGCAAACGTACAAAATCTGCAGGGGATCAAATACTTTTTTCCCTCACTGTACCTGGTCTGTCACTCCGCACAAAGCTTCGTGTCTTCTCGGCCACAGTCATTCCCTCCCTTCTCTACGCTTGCGAAACGTGGACCCCCCTAATGGAACATCTTCGCCGGTTAGAAAGATTTAGCCTGGCCTGCCTACAATCAATCCTGGGTTTAACCAGGCTGGATTGTGTGAAGAGCTCACACATCCTCTAAAGATCTGGACAAAGTCCCATCGATGAGCTCCTCCGGCAGGCAAGGCTGCGTTGGCTGGGCCATGTAGCCCGCATGCCCAATCACCGCATGCCCAAACAGCTTTTGTTCGGCCGGATCAAGGGGGATAAACGGGCGCGGCACGGGCTAGAGAAGCGATGGAGTGATGTGGTACAGGAGGATGTGGAGCTGAGTGGACTTGCCGATGACTGGTACCAGCGGTGGAGGCAGTCACCCTCCAACAACAATGGAGGGCAGAGGAGCGACGCTCACAACAACGAGCAGAGCGCCGGGTGGCTAAAGCACAGTAAGGGGGTACAGGTGGTGGCTCAGCCAGTCATCTCAGTCAGTCGACTCGTGGCACCTGCGTCTGCCCCGTGACCTCCTGCCAACGGGTGTTCGACACTTCACGTGGCCTCAAGGTGCACATAGCCTGGTACAAGCGTCGTGGTGATGTCACCGCCACTTAGTGGCAAATGACGGTTATTGTTGTTGTGTCATTACATGTTTACTATGTGTGGGTCACTCAACACTCCGGACAGCCTTGCTAATAAGATGTTCCATCCAGAGGAACCATCCAACTGTTTCATTAAATACAAATCTAAACATTTGTAGCTCCTCATATCTGCAGGCACTGGCCAATGTCTAATTATTACTGATATCTGCAAATCAGCCTTCCTATTACCTGAGTATTCAGAGGATCCACCGTACCATGAGTTTTCAGACCAAATATTAGAGAATTTGCCTGATCTCGTTCAGATATTCGAAGCTAAGCAGGTTTGAGCCTGGGCAGTGTTTGGATTGGTGACCAACACGTGCACATAAGTTATCATGGTGGGCAGCAGAGGGTAGTGCAGCCAAATCTATGCTTGCACATCCATGCCTCCCACCTTCACCAACTAGCAGTATGGTCGATTAACCTCCATGACCCGCACAGCTTGGGGGAGGCACTCATCCAGCAGTGGAGTAACAAAAGGAGCTCGATATGTACACATTCGCAGATAAATGGAGATGATGAAGGGAATATTGTACCGTCATGGTCCAAATTGATCAAATATGAAAAATGACACCACAAATTACCTAATTGGGGAACAGAGAACAATCTGGAGCATCTTCGCTCCCTCCTCACTAAAATTTGGCAGGGCCCAACTGAAAACATGTTATTTTTTAAACAGTTGCTGAGGTATAGACCCAAGAACAAAATGTCAAGTGGCCAGCAACAAACAGCATAATCAAAGTTCTAAGAGATAAGAGCGTAACGGGTGTCTTGAGCAAGGTTATAGGAGCTTGGAGAAAGGGGACAATGACAGGAAATTCCAAGGTGCAGCAGCAGGAGAGAAAAAGCAGAAAGAGAAGTGTTGTGACCTGCAGTTTGGCAAGTGAGTGGGTGGGTGTGTTGTTTTGTGGGGAGCGGTAGTGTAGCGGTGAGCGTACTGCGCTACGAACACGGCGACCCGGGTTCGATGTCCGCTCACGGCCAACACCAGTGACGATTATCTGAACAAGTCATGGGCCTCCCCTAGGTCGACTCAGCCTCACATGAGTACCTGGTGCGATGTGTAAACATCGTAACTGGAGAGATAAAGGCGGTCGGGCGTGGTGCTGGCCACCCACCCCCTCATGTGCTGTTCCGGCCTTCACAGGTTCTCGCTATCAGCACTTGCCCCAACAGTCTGTTACAGTCTATTACAGGCTATACGCAGAATCCTTGTCTTTGTTACGTCCTACAGTGTGGTGGTTGAACACAGTGCAGATGAGACAAAACAGTCAGTCTAGTAGACCATGTTCTCAACATGGGTAGAAGGAATCAAAGGGTGAAGTTTACAGGAACAGTAACCATGGTAGCAGCGAAAAAAGAATGATAAGGTGAGTGACCATGTTGGCTAGCCTCATTAGATACTGTCTATGCCGACTTATCCACACACTTTGTTCACTTGCATTCACAGCACCTGATTGACCACAGGCTTGTGCTTCAGGCCGGGTTTGTTCAGAATCTTCCTTATTTGGTCACGATTGAAGTTAGAGAGACCCAGAGCTCGAATGACACCTGCGTCGACGAGTGCTTCCATTGCCTGTAAGCAGGCACACGTCAAAGATGGTCTTGCCAGTTCACACAGTTAGACAAATTAAACGGTGATGCTTCGTTGGCCGTCATGCACAAGCAGCAAAACCTCAACACATTTGTCAATAACACGGAGTATTTTTAAAAGGGAGAAATCAATAATGGTCCTTCACCACAGCATATAGAAAATATGAAGGGCCATTTCTTAAAATGTCCCGGATGTATACAGGGTGGCCAAAAAGTCAGGACACATTGGGATGTTTTATTTATTGTAACAGATCACAAAGGGTCTTTTAATTTATTTTAACAAATGTAAAAAATGACGTACATTAAGATTAATGCATTCATTAATTCATCCTTTGAGATTAATTTAGGATGTGCTTTTATTACAGGTGTAATCTTTGAATATTCATCAATTGTTTTGTCTCAATTCAGTACATTTGATTTAAGTTGGTCAATGTTATAAAATAAATAGATAAAATATCAATCAAAAGAATTTAAAAAATAATGTAATGCCATTGTTAAAATTAATGTTTGCTGACTTTTGGGCAAGCCTGTATAATTTTCTATTTTAGGCCACACTATAATAGATAAATGTGAGTTTTTGTAATTGTAGCATGGTTAGACTATTGGAACATAGGTATTGTAAAGAAAAATGCTTCTGATGACAAGCATTGCAGTTGTGGTCAGCCGTACACAAGACTTCCCTTTCTCGCCAACAATCAAGATTGCAATAAAAAATATTGTGGCACTTAATGCCTCAACTCAAAGAGCTTCACATAAAAAAGTCAAACAGCACCCTCAGTGGCAGCGGTCCTTGTGCTGCATCATGTGACTCCACACCGGCCTGCCGGTGGGAATTAGCCTGTCAGTTGGGGGGCAATGTTGCTAGGTGTAATCCCAATTTACCAATTTTGAGGTGTATTTTTCTCATTTTCGCAAATCTGGACCATGACACTGGCACACAATGGCCTACTCAATTAGAACAACAATGGGATCTTTAAAGCAGCCCTGCAATTGCTTGCACATGTTACTATTAAATAAAGGGCCTCCACAAGAGTGAACTGTATGGGATACTTGGTCTACTCTTGCACGCTGACTAGACATGTCAGAAGAGGTGGGCATACCCACTTTACCCCACCCATTTATGCTCCTCCTGTGTGGACAGAATTGGTTGGTGGGGGGGGGGGATTTGAGAAATTTGCCTTATTGCATGAATGCCACCCCCGGAATGTGGAATATAACCTGTGGCCTCTGTCTTGCAAGTCCACTGTACTAAGTTACACCACAGCAGTTGCCATCGTGTGTGTGTGTTTATAAAAAAAAAGCATACCTCCCAAGTGTCCAGAAAATCCGTGCCATCAGTAATCACTTTATCATTTTCATCCAATGGGAACAAGTCCTCACCTGGCTGGAGAAAGTAAATCAGGGAAGTTGCGAGTTTTCCTTTTCCACAAACAACACGTCATCTCACTCTACAAATACTACACAGCGTTATCTTATTTGGCGACAGGGTGGCGCAGCGGTAACACTCGTGCCCTACAGTAAGAAGTTTCCGGGTTCAATTCCTGACTTGGGTGCCTTTCTGTGTGGAGTGTGTATGTTGGCCCCTGTTCCTCCAGGTTATCTGGTTTCCTCCCACAACTAAGACCACACAATGTAACTGATATTGGCCAAAAATATTCCAATGCTAAATAATTACCTGCAAACTACAGGTAGGAGTGTGGCACCCTACTGCAAAATTTGGCAGAATGCTCCTAAAAATAAACTTGAGACTCAGTGAGGCTTCCCATGGTAAGCAAGAGTAAAACAAATACCCTAACCTGAATGAACTACGTAATATACCCCTTTTTTCTCTCTAGTAAACACAAAAACTAAAGCTATTCTCATATGAATGCAAAATACCCAAAACTTCAATATACACCTCCTGTTTATTAACATCTTGCTAATTATTACTGTTCCCGTGAACATCACTCACCGATTCCTCCATCCATGTTAAACTCGACTCGTCCAAACTGTATTCAGCCACCACACTGCAGCTAACTAACAATTCACTCACCCGCTCGCCATACTACAGGTCACAACAATACAAAGACCCCTTATAGCCTTTAACAGACGTTTGGGGCAAGTGCTGCTAGCGAGCACCTATTAAGGCCGGCACGGCAAATTAGGGGGTGGGTGGCCAGCACGACGCCCGACGATCTTTGTCCCCCCAGTGGTGATATTCACACACCGCACCAGGTACTTATTTGAGGCTAAGTCGACCTAGGGGAGACTCAGGACCAGATCAGATAATCCTCACTTTTGTGGGCCGTGAGTGGGATTGAACTCTGTTCACCGTGATTGTAGCCCAGCATGCTAGCCTCAATACTACCACTCCCCAGTCACAAGAATACCCCCACACGCTCACCCGCCCGCCCGTCCACCCACCCACCCACTCGCTCACCCACCCACTCACTCACCAAACAGCAGGCAAACACTTCTTGCTCTGCTTCTTCCCTTACACCCACTACTACACTTGGAAATTCCCTCCCATTGTCTCTTTTCCAAAGCTCTTGCAATAACATTGCTCCATTAAATAAACATTAACTCTATTACACCTCTGATCATGCAGTTTGTTTCTTGATGGCCGGTTGACACGTTAGACCTTTTGAGCCTATATTCTGCAACTGTGTAAAAACATTGCTCTTGGCTATATTTTCTATCACCTAAACTTGTATATATCTGAATATTGTTGGATTCACCATGGTTATCTGAGTGTGTTGCCAAGGCACAGCTAAGATCAGTGGTGAGCAATATCTGAACCAGTACTGCTCCCCTCTCTGCCAATATCCACACCAACCAGTGCAGTGAAATATGATACAAACATTCAGGACTGATGAAGCGTAGGGAGGCCTTCATGCAGCAGTGGGTTGTCAACGGTCTGTAAATCATTATTCCAAAATTCATCTCCTGTTTATATCTCCAAGCCAGCTGTGGCAAGTTTGTATTCCTATGGTGGGGAGTACTGTGCTGCCTTCTCCAGAGTCGTGCTTATCTTATCAACCCGTGAGGAATAATGGGATTGAGTCAACTTCCAACCTAGATTTGAACTCGCAATCTTCCTATTGCGAGTTGCTCACTTTGCCGCTGAGCCAGCTGGTAGAAAATGACTGCTGGTTTATACTAAAAAACTTAATTGTTCACAAAACTTGCAACTTGGAATGAGCATGAGACTTCCTGTGTGTCAGCAGGCCCCTCTGTCCACCCTTTCTCTGACCTCCCAACTTCACTCTACTGCAACAAGCCAGTGATAGTTTGTACACCCTGGTCATGATCGTACTCCCTCTTGCCTTCAGTACACATTTCTTGTGCTATTATTTGTACAAGCTCAGTCTTAGACACTGGCAGTGTCCATAACCAGAGAGGCCTGCCAGGATCGAACCGCAACACAACAAGCGGTGAACGAGCATGATTGCTGGCTCATGTCACCGCTCACATCTGCTGTCACTGTGCACTTCTGCATATTGCGTGGACGCACCTTGAAGCCCATAGGCCAGTGCATCAAGTACAGGTCCAGGTAGTTTGTCTTCAGGGCCGCCAGCGTCTGGTCGCAAGCAGCACGCACTGCAGAGGGGTGATGGAACGTGTTCCACAGCTACCTCGCACCATACAGCACATCACCACACGCCACAACAAGCTTTTATAAAAAGTAACTTATTTATAGACGAATTTGAACAAACGGTGATGATGCCAATGCACAGGACAGGAGTGGTGGAGATGTGCCAGTATACAACGGTACTCCACACCAGCACTTCTATAATTCGAATGAGTAAATGATGAGAAAACTCATCATTAGAGACACATCCTATTCCTATACTACGATGTTTCTGCAAGGGAGAAATAGCAGTGAGTGTAAGTGTGTGTGTGTGTATGTAATTGGATGTGTCGGAGTATGAGAGAGTGTTCGTGAGGGTTAGGGGCTATGTGAGTGGGGGGGCGGCAGTGTAGCGGTTAGCGCGCTGTGGCAGAAATTGGTGACCCGAGTTTGATCCCTACTCACAGTGAACATCAGTGACGAACATCTAAACCTGTCCTGGGCCTCCCTAGGTTGACTCAGCCTTAAATGAGTGCCTAGTGTGGTGCAAACATCAACACTGGAGAGATAAAGGCGGCCGGGGGTGGTGCTGGCCACCCAACCCCCCCCACCCCCCCCCCCCCTTGTGCCATGTTGGCCTATTAGCACTTGCCCCAAGTATGTTAAAGTCTATATGGGGTACCTTTGCCTTTTGTGTGAGGGTGAGTGTAAGAGGGTGGGTGAGTATGAGGGTGTGTGAGTGTGTGAGGGTCAGAGGGTGTGTGCAACTGAGTGTCTGTGCGTGGGCTGCCGCAGGATGCATGGGTTTCATGCTGGCCATTATACACTTCTGTTTGCACTACTGATAGTGAGTCACTAAAAATGATGCATCTCCCAGAATGCACAAGTCAAAAAACAGATAATTGTACAGCACTTTAATGGAGGCATGTTAATTCACTAATGATTTCCAATACGTAGTAGCTTCTGAATTATGAATAATAATCACAAAAATACCAATTATTACAATATATAATGGTCTATCCTACAAGTTTAAGATAATTAAATTCAAATATATGCCCCAACTACAGGCCATGGAAATGTAGAATTTGACTACATATCACAAATTTTATTTTCACAATTGTTTACGCAGAAAAGCCTCAGCAAGTCTCATAATTCTTTTTAACGAGGGTTCTGCCATGTTTTTCATTAGGAGGCAATGTTACTTTGTGCAAACCCAATTAAGTATATTGCAGGTTATGTTTTAGCATTAAGATATTTGGGTCAACACTAGTTACAATGTGTTTTTTAGCAATGTGATGGAAGAGGAGAACCTGGATGAACCCCAGAAGACCAAATAGAGAACATAAAAAAACTCCATGTAAAAAGGCACCCTAGTCGGGAATCAAACCCATGCCCTTCTTGCCGCAAGGCACGAGCGTGACCACTGCACTACCACCCCTCTACTGCCCATGTGCAACCGCATGACAAAACCACGTGCCACATCTGTATTCTACAAATACCTTGCTCGTGATGAATATTTGTGAACGAGGCACCCCAGAGCCCTGGATGCCATTCCCAACCTCCTCTTCATTCACATACACGTGTGCACAGTCCAGGTGCCGGTAGCCGGCCTCAAGTGCAGCACACACAGCTGCATACGCCTCACCCTTTTTTGTCTGCAAAGCAGACACACACATACACAAATACATACAAGGAGCGAAGCGTGAAATATCAGATACGCACTGCCATGGAGAACACAGAGTAATCTCATTAAATGAATACCGAGGCATTGGTGCACATCTCATGTTTACAACCCTGAGCCGGGGGCGTAATTCCACGTTCCTATGGTGGGGCAAGTCTCTCCATAGGACAACTGTTGACTGCTCCACAAAGTGGAACTCATTTTATCTGCATTCGAAGGATGAAGAGCCAAATTAATCCCTCAATTGGATTAGAACTTAAAACTTTCCAATTGCGAGCCGCTCACTCTGCAGCAGAGCCACCCAATCATTTATTACCGGATATAACTGCAAATAAATAATTAAACATTCCTAGCAAAGTGTCATGAAGTTTGAATGTGGGTGTGGTGTTGTTGTATATATAGGCCTTTTTCCATTTTTGTTTTTGATATTAATAAGGATTTTGCCAATATATTTTTTTCAATCGTGGTGTCACTTGGGGCAAAAGGGGGTGATACAGCCCCCCTCCCCTCACACACAACAGGCCGCTGGAGATAGCAATAAAAGGTAATAAACCCAAAACAAAGAGAAAGAGGGGGAATTCCTAATGAGAAAGGGCGGAGAGGGCCAAACGTCGACCAAGCCTGCCATCAACGAATGAAAGCATCGTTCATTGCCAGAGAGCCGGAGCCGGAGTGAGCACGCCACAGCGCCACCAGCGCCACCAAGCAAGGGTGTCAGCTGCCAGCGGACGAGCTGTGGGTGCTACCCTGACGACGGGATCATCGCACACCGACGGCGAGCGTCGTGCCGACTCTTTTAACCAGCTGTGGACCGAACTCCGGCTGCCCGTGTGAAAGAAGGAGAACCCAGCTATCCTTATGATATGCACACTGCCACACATTACAACGCATCACCTGGCATCTGCTTGATGCAAAGAATTGATCAAGAACACATCCCCACTCAACCCATACCATCCCCACTCAACACATACACGAATCATTAATAAGAAGACTCATGATAAGTGCGTCAAGTATCAACTGATAACGAAGAACACGGTTGCCATTGGGTTCCGGGGAAATGGTCGTTTAGAAGTATTTTAGTAGTTATATTTCTTTTTTATTTGCAAAAAAATTATCAACGAATTCATCGATGAAAACTAAACGTTTAAAAACCTAAGTTACGAATCCACACACTCATAGGGAGAATATTGCGTTGAAATCTTCTTTTGATCACAGAATCTGCCCGTGAATTTATTGAAACCTCAGCCAATTAATGAGTATTTGCTGAAGCAGGCATGCTGCTGCACACCATGGTTTCAACATTTCGATAAATTACGTAATCTTGCCCATGGATTCATTGCCGTATACGCTTTGCCTTCGGGACATGTTTATTTATTGCCTTCGTGTGAATGTCGTTGCATGAATTTTTAAGGACTTTTTATTCCTATTTGCCATATATGCTCGTGTTACTCTGATGAAGTAATCGTTTGTTCTGTTACCCAATTAACAAACGTGATCATTGAGGGTTAAATGTATGGATCAATGAGGGGAACATCTCCTGGAGTTCTGTGTTCACAATTTCAAGCATAAGAATTTGCATATTAGAGTGTTAAGGCTTTTCTTTAGAAATTAAAATTGCTTAACACACAAGTGATTGAGTGTTTCTTTCTTATGTTCATGCATAATAATATTAATTATAAGAACTGTATCCTGCGGTGAGATTTGAATTTGGAGAACTGACATAACACACTAATACATAATCAATAAATGTTCAAGCGAGAATAATTGTATTATACCGATCGATAATACGAACCTAGACAACGAAGCCGAGCTTAATCTGGCGTACTTACAGCACACCTGCACAACTTCATACAATTCCTTGTCTTATCCTGATTGATGACACTACCCTCGTCAGCGAGGCAGGGCCTAATTATCATAACGGCTTGCGCTAGCCTATTTGCATACATTCGCATAAATTAATACAGTAATATCCCTAATTAGCATAATTTATGCGCATAATTACACCTATTAACATGAATTTTGATAATTACGCATTTATTTAAATTTCATTTAAATTTTATTATTTTCATCAAATTTTCAATACCCGGCATATACAACAGTGTAACGCAGTGTGAATTGGGGTGTGGTGTAACAGAGTGTGAATTCGTGAGTGGTGTAACGGAGTGCGAATTGGGTGTGGTGTAATGGAGTGTGGATTGTGGTGTAGTGTAATGGAGTGTAAAATGAGGTGTGGTTTAATGGCGTGTAAATTGGGGTGTGGTGTAATGCAGTATGAATTGGGATGTCGTATAATTGAGTGTGAATTGAGGTGTGGTATAATGGAGTGTAAATTGCGGTGTGGTGTAATGGAGTATAAATTGGGGTGTGGTGTAATGCAGTATGAATTGGGATGTGGTGTAATGGAGTATGAATTGGGGTGTGGTATAATGGAGTGTAAACTGCGATGTGGTGTAATGGACTGTGAATTGGGGTGTCATGTAATGGAGTGTAAATTGGGGTATGGTGTTACGGAGTGTGAATTCGGGTGTGGTCTAACACATTATGAATTGGGGTGCGGTATAATGGAGTGTGAATTGCGGTGTGGTGTAAGATTGTGAATTGGGGTGTGGTGTAAGAGATCGAGAATTGGGATGTTGTGTAACAGAGTGTGAATTGGGGTGTGGTATAATGGAGTGTGAATTGTGGTGTGGTGGAATGGAGTGTGAATTAGGTGTGGTGTAAAGGAGTATGAATTGGGGTGTAGTTAATGGAGTGTGAATTTGGGTGTGGTGTAATGGAGTGTGAATTGGGATGTGGTGTAACAGATTGTGAATTGGGGTGTGGTATAATGGAGCGCGAATTAGGGTGGTATAATGGAGTGTGAATTGCGGTGTGGTATAAGATTGTGAATTGGGGTGTGGTGTAAGAGATTGAGAATTGGGGTGTTTTGTAACGGAGTGTGAATTGGGGTGAGATGGAACAGAATGTTAATTGGGGGTGTTACCTTCCAGGTGCCGAATCCCACCAGCGGCATGCGGCACCCCCCACGTAGCGTCACGTAGGGTAACCCTGCCATATCCAAACTGCACACAGCATCATCCATTACCACAGAACACATCTCAACTCATGTGATACTGTGCACATGATCATCTGCAACACAAACCAGGGAACACACACGGCCCCACACAGAGCTAAACACTCTAGGATTCAAGAGATAAGCTACAGGTCACAGCAGCACATTTGACAGTAAAATACAAAGATCCCCCATATAGCCTTGAACAGACTGTTGGGTCAAGTGCTGTTAACACTGCACAAGAGTTCGTGGTGTGGCCAGTGCCACACACACCCGGTCACCTGTCTCCGTAGTGCTGATGTTTATACTGCACTAGGTACTCATTTAAGGCTGAGTCGACCTAATGGAGGCCCAGCACCAGTTAAGATATTTGTCATTGATAATGGCTGAGTGGCAATCGAACTCAGGTAAATGGGTGCGTAGCGTCGTGCGCTAACGGTCTTGTTGTCCCTTATGGTAACAACAATTGTCAATCACGCAACCAATATTTTGGTATTGCACAAAAAGTCCTATTTAGCCAGTTCCCCAGCGAGTTGGCAAGGGAGATACATAGTGTATCAGCACAGAACACAATAAAGCATAAAAATGGTCCGTACAGAACGGCAATCACCAAAGGAACAACACGTCAGAGATATGGTTACAAGCAAATAAAAACAATATTAACAAAATCAAGAGGCATATTACACCAAAAACAAGGCAAAGGTAATGCATGGTTGGAGAGATGACCGCAAGGCAAAGTGAACATGATCGAGCGAATAAAATAACCATCACGGGAATCGGGATATAACAGCAACTGCTTTTTGGGTACAGGTGCAGCATCCAAACTGTGCATTCTGAGCTTGGAGTGATATGAAAAGGTGGAGAGGGAGCCGAGTCTAAGCTGAAAGCCAAGGGCATCGTAGTAATGTGGAGCAGTAGCGTGGACGGAAGGACATGTCGCCAAACCCAGTAGTATTTTTTGTAAGAACAGGCAGGTTACTTCTGAAGTTGCGGATGGGAATTTTCAGAGGAAGGAGGTCCTTTAGATATATTGCCGATTTGTTTAAAAGGACTTTTAGCATAAATATAGCTTATGGGGGGGGGTCTCTTCTGATGCCAACGGGGGACAACTTGGAGGCAATAACAGTCGTTCCTAAGTCAACAGTGATATCGGTTTACGGTTTTTCAGCTGACGTTTTGCCTCGCATAGGACCCCATGGTTTCGACTAACGTTAAAATTTTGATTAACGGTACATTTACGTTATGCAAGCGGGCACAAATTTCGCCCAATCCGAGCGCTCGTAAGTGGGCTGAGAATGCCCTCAGCCAATCAGCGACAAACATTTATAATCCGTCTTCTTTGGTTCTTTCGGTAAAGTCACGTAGAATGAGAATAAAATAATAAATTGATAAAATAAAATAACACAATAATATTCTCACGACGTTTCGGCCGCAACACAAGCGGCCTTCATCAGTCTCGTCCCTTCACCTGATGAAGGCCGCTTGTGTTGTGGCCGAAACGTCGTGAGAATATTATTGTTATTTTATTTTATCAATTTATTATTTTATTCTCATTCTACGTGATTTTACCGAAAGAGCCAAAGAAGATGAATCCTTGCAGTCACGAAAGCTTTAAATCGAAAATTTATAATCCGTTTAAACCTCAACTGGCTTTGATTACATTATCTTTTCTGTTTTGGCAATGGAAACAGCTCTCTTGCAGACTCAGATTATTTTTTTTATTATTTTTCAACTCATACATAAATTTGATGAACAGTTATTTCGGTTACCACTGTATAGTGCTTGCAAAGATGTGTTTTAGAGGGGGCGTCAAGGGCAAAGCGGAGGGGACGAGTGACGAAATGGAAAGAGACATATTTAGCTGCCATAAATTTCCACCAGATAAGCCACTTCGTTGAGCTATCATTTGTGACCAGGTGACTTCTGAAAATGAGCTACATAGCTCAGTGGGCCTTACCTAGTAAAATGAAGTTTTGTTTTACGTTTTATAGTGGTCTCGGAGACTAGGAGGTCGATGATGTATTAGTCAAAGATGGGGAGGACGGTGCGCTTTAGGTGGTAATAGTTACCGGGTACTGTATGTTGCTGTGTCAGTACAATCACAGACGTTCCTGCAGCTCTGCACGTGATGCTTTTCTTATTTTATTTGTACAGGGATATATATGTGTAGCAACATCGCTGCATGTCGCTGCATGTCGCTGTGTGTGGCCAACCTGTGAAAGGCACGCCATGCAATGTATTGCCACCACGGACACCAGTAATTGGGGATACAGTACCATCCCTCGCGGGGCTTGGGCAGCAATGACCGACAATCAACTAATGGGACCACGCTCTATGTGCAGTGCCAGCCCCTACAGGATAAGGGGTGAGAGTGGCGGCCTCGTAACGGGGTTGTAGGGGGCCATGGCACTCTGGTTGATCCCTGAGGGCATGTGACCGGAGGTGTCTACCCGGGGACCCCCAAAGGGGGGGCTGGGGGGACCACGTGTCCAGTGGAGATCCTCCTCAAGAGTTCGAGAAGGGGGTCGTGGCTAGGGGCGGAGCGAGCCCCGCCACACAGGATAAAAAGCCGGGTTCCCAGTGGGACCGGCTGCTGTTGTCTTCATGAAGAAATCTATGTTCTACGCCGAAAGAAGATTCTTCAACATGTGGACCCGGACCCGAGTTGGGGTCGGGTCCGTTGTAGCTAACTCAGTGTTAGAGTAGCTAAACTGGTGGTCCACCACCATAGGTTATCTGGTAAAGGGGCAGTTACCCCTTTGTGTTAATAGTGTTGGTGTTAAGGTAAAAAATGTGTTGCCTCAATTAGTGAGTCTCCGTCCGTACCCACTACATATGTATTTCAAGCTCCCCTGAACCTTGCAGATAATGGGGTTCACAGCTAACAGTGATGCACATCAGCTACATGTAAATTAACACATTTATGCAGATGTCAAAATTCTGAGCAATTTCTAGCTCAATTGAGCAGAGGCGGTGCTCGGTACCCATTTACAGCCCTCATCCAGTGGTAAAACCTCCACAATGCTATGGCAAGGGTGAGTCTGTCCATTGTACCACTGCTGATTTCCCCATAAAGTGGTGCTCATTTTGATGATGGCCCGAAGTTGCCACCAATCAAGATTTGAACTTACAATCTTCTGATTGTGAGTTACTCGCACTCGCGCCGAGCCACCCGTCCACGGAATGCATAAGTAGGCACTTCCGTATGTATAAGCATTCAGTGTGTTGGACAGGCATGCCTCTCTTGGCAGAGCACAACACACATCACCTAGGTCCTAGGGGGTGTGCGACGTGTGACCGCACAGCACACCACCACGAACTGGGGGGAGGTACGGCAAAATCCAAGTCTCATTTTGTCTCCTTACAGGTGGTTGTCAAATTCTCACATCTTGTCAAAAAAATAATCGATCCGGCTGCCAAAACATTATCCGGCGGTCCCAGGCCGATCAGGCGGTCCCAGGCCGATCAGGCGAAACCGGCAAAACCGCTCTTCAGGCTGTAACCAGCCCGGCGATCGTCAACATGTGCGTGACATAAAAAGTAGCTATGCTTGATTTCAGTGTTAAATATTACATGCAGTACTTTATGAACGATATACAACTTAAACAATGAAAATACTGCACTATATAGATTTATCATGATTAATAACTACAGTAATAAAAACAGAAAATATACAGTGCAATCTGGCGAAAAGCATGCGTGTAATTCGGCATTCACCGGAGCACCGGTCTAAAAAGGCTGCATCAGTTCGGTGATCGTCAAATCCATGTTGTTGAAACAAGAGCGTAGTAGTACATACATCACCCCATGCACAGTCTTCCAGATTGGAGAGGTAAATCCGTTACAATAAATACTGCAACTTTTCACAGGAAAAAATATACTTTTGTCTAATTGTACGTTTATTTATGCCAATTCCATATCATAAATATATTCAATACACTAAAAAACATAAACACACCACTTGAAACATGTTATACAAGAATCTACAAAAATACATTATATTAAATAATGATTGGTGATTATCCGGCGTTTTTGAAAATCCGGCGCCCCCTTTCACCCCGAAGGTGCGGATAATCGATGAATTACTGGAATAAATTAGCATATGCTACATCAATCTATTGACATGTTAAATGTTTCGTGTCACAATTAATTAGTGTGTCACGGTATGTTAGTGTCACAGTGTGCGAGCTTGTTACAGAATGTTAGTGTATCACAGAATGTTAGTGTCACAGGATGCAAGTGTGTTACAATGTGAGTGTGCCACAAAAACAACCCCCTTCCTCCTCGTGGTGCCAGACGGGCAACGCTGTCGTGGACAGTGCTGTGGGGGGGGGAGGGTGAATTCTGATTGGCCTTTCCCCTCATGGCGTATGTGACCACCACAGCGGCCAAATGGGGGCTCTGGACGGGTGCAAGGGGCTGGTAACCCCTCCACGTTAAATTAATTACCACTAAACCACAAATTAAAATTTTAATTAATAAGCTTGTGCCGGAGGCCCCGGGGGGACAGGCGTCTATGACGTCTCCTAGCCAAACCCCATTTGACCGAGCCAGGAGATTTCATCTTTACCCTCGGGGCACCTCCAGAAACAACAAATAGCCACTACGAATGGCCATGTGGAATGTTCGAATGCTCACTGCGGAAGAGGCTGTCACTCCTCTGTCGGGAGCTGGACCGGTACCGACTGGATCTCTGTGGTATTCAGAAGGTCTGGTGGACCGGCTCTGGCTCCTGCCACCATGAGGGGTGGACAGTCCTCTACTCGGGGCAGGGAGTGGCTCTTCTTCTGAAAGAATGAAGAGGGCGTGGGAGCGTGGCGGTGAAGTGTGGGAAGCTGCAAGCCCCAGGCTACTTTGGGCTCGCCTTCCCATCAACCGGAGGCGAGGAGTGGTGGTTGTGGTTACTTATGCTCCCACCGAAGACGAACATCCGTGGAGGGATGCAGGCAAGGCCGATGAGTCAGATGCCTTCTATAACCTGTCACAGGTGCTAGCTAAAGTGGCCCCTCGGGATAGTCATCTTGCCCGAGTTCGTCATGATGCTGGCACCTGGTCTGGAGTGATTGGAAGGCATGGGCCAGATCAGCTCAATAACAACGGTAGGAGGCTGCTAGATTTTTGTGCAGCCCATGGGCTTGTAATTACCAACACGCTGTTCCGGCATCGGCGCATCCACACATCATGGATGCATGCCGGGTCCAAGCAAGAACATCTGCTGGACTACATAGTGATGGATCAACGGATGCGGGCCCATGTCCTTGACACCAGGACCTACCATGGAGCTGATCTGCCCTCTGACCATCGACTTTTCATCTATAAGATGCGCCTGCCATTCTTCCACTCCGGTGGTGGGTGTACACCCAGGACCCCATTCAAATTTAAGGTGGCCTGGTCTCAGCTAGCTGATGAAAGTTGCAAGCTAGAATTTCATCATCGCTTGCGGCTGGAGTTGGCATCGTCCCCCACTCCTCCAGATGTCGAGGGTAAATGGGTTAAGTTTAGGACTGTGACTCAGGCAGCTGCAATGGCTGCTTTGGGTACGCGGTCCAGACCTCCCCAGAGACCCTGGCTGACTCAGGAGGTGTTCAAGCTGGTTGAGAAAAAGCGACAGGCCCACTCTAATCGTCTACAGCATCCCACGTCAGAGAATGAGAAGGCTTACCGCAGCCTTCGCTCGGAGGTTTGGAGAGTCGTGAGGCGCTGCAAGGATGGGTGGTGGTCGCGGGTTGCTGAGGTGATGGAGTCTGCCTCAATGGCCCACGATCACAAATCCCTATTTAACTCCATCAAAAAAAGTTACCTGCAGCGCCACACCTATTACCATCATTAGGGGAAAAAACGGTGATCCAATCTCCTACCCCCAGGTACAGGTTTGCAGATTTGCTGAGCATTTCTGTGAAGTCCTGGGGGAGGGGAAATCCCTCGACATGGAAAACATCGTGGGGATGACCCTGCCGAGTGGGGATGACCCTGCCGAGGCTGTGGTGCCTCAAATATTGAGACCAGGAAAGGCACCGGGCAGAGATGATCTCCCAAGTGAAATGCTGAGAGGTGGCGTTTGTGCACAGACTGCCCTACATGACATCATAACAACAGTCTGGACCACTGGACGGGTTCCGCAGGATTGGAAGGATGCCCTTGTGGTCCCCCTCTTCAAGAAGGGGGACCGCACAGACTGTAACAACTACAAGGGCATCTCACTCCTCAGTGTGCTGGGAAAGGTCCTGGCAAGGATTATTCAACATCGCCTTGCCAGGCACGCTGAGGAGAGGCTTGCGGAGCCCAATGTGGTTTCAGGAAAGGGCGGTCCTGCACAGATGCCATATTCTCTGTCCGTTTGCTACAGCAGAGGTGTAGGGAATTCCAACAAGACCTACATCTCTGCTTTATTGACCTGGTCAAGGCCTATGATACCATCAGTAGGTTTGGGCTCTGGGTTGTTCTTCGTGCTTTCGGAGTCCCTGACCCTCTGCTCACGCTCATTAAGGACCTTCATGATGGTGCATCGGCCAGTCATCTCAGTCAGTTGACCCGTGGCACCTGGGTCTGCCCCGTGACCTCCTGCCAACGGGCGTTCGACACTTCACGTGGCCTCAAGGTGCACATAGCCTGGCACAAGCGTCGTGGTGACGTCACCGCCACTTAGTGGCGAATGGCGGTTGTTGTTGTGCCACAATATGTTCATATCACAGTATGTTATTGTCACAGAATCCTATTACCTGTCACAGTATGTTTATGTAACTGTACGGTAGTGTTACAGTACGTGTTACAGCATGTTAGGGTCACATCGTGTGTCACAGAATGTTAGTGTTACAGTATGTTAGCGTCCTAGTATTTTGTGTGCCACATTGTTCGTGTGTCACAGAATGTTAGTGTTACAGTATGTTAGTGTCCTAGTATTTTGTGTGCCACATTGTTCGTGTGTCACAGAATGCTGGTGTCACAGTATTTGTGTTGCAGTACCGTATGTTAGCGTCACTATATGTTAGCATGTCGCAGTTTGTTCGTGTCGCATTAAGTTAGTGTGTCACAATATGTTAGTGACACAGTATATTTGTGTTACATTATGTTAGTGTCACAGTTTGTTTGCATGACAGTATGCTAGTGTCACAGTATGTTAGTGTTACAATGTGTCAGAGTAAGTTAGTACAGAAATCCCTCACCAACCACGGCGGTGAGTTGGCAAATCCGTGGTTGACAAGACGAAAGACTGATGGAAAACAGGGGATTTGGTTCCGCGGCCGCGGTGAACAATATAATCGAAGCCTAAGCATCCTATGCATTCAGTAAACATGACAAATATGTAAAGTGCTGTATCACACACTGCATTAACAAAAATAACTGTATTAATAGTGAACAAAATTAATTACCTTTAATACTTATCCTGCAGTAAAATCCAGATAACAATGACATTGATGTTAGGTGAGGGGGGGGTATATAGGGATGAGGTGGTTGTCCCCCTCCTCAGAACTCGTTTCTCTGAAGACAGATCACCCTCCTTCCCTCGTCACACGGCGCTCACCCTCACCACCAGCTCGACGCTTAGAGGCCACGATGAAAGGCAAACATGAGTAATGACAGTAGACACTGCCACGCTTTGACGCGAGCAAGCACGGCGCGTGGTGGGGACTCCCGCCTGGTGGTGGATGCTTCAACACGGCTGGAGATTTGAAATCGCGGGCAGCGCAAAACCAAACCGTGGTTACGCGAAACTGCATACCGTGTTTGGAGAAATGGTATGCGTAAAATTATGCATCGATACTCTAAACAGTGGTTGGCAAAACCCGTGGTTAGTGAAGGGTCATTGCTTTGTGCTGTTACAGTACGAGATATACAGTGCCATACAGTAGCATACAGTACCGGTGTGTTGCCGTGGGTTATTTACTCTGCACGGAGAGAGAAAGGAGAGTGAGGAGAGTGAGGAGAAGAGTGAGCATATCGGTGAGGAGAGATGTCAGTCTTAACAGACTGCAGAGAGAGAGGGGAGAAGGCGCTCACCGCTCGTCACGCTGCGCCAACTGGAGACAACGAGAGACGAGAAGTGGAGCCAAGTCACGTGACGGGGAGAGGGAGGGGGGCGGGTCAGAGGTCGAGAGAGGGGGAGGGGAGACCGGGGGAGGGAGAGAGAGTTCTGAGGGGCGTAAGGGGAGAGAGGGGCGAGAGTGTGAGAGACGGAGAGGGGGAGAGAGGGGAGACAGGGAAAGGTGGAGACAGGGGATGGTGGAGACAGGGGAAGGTGGAGACAGGGAGACAGGGGAAGGTGGAGACAGGGAGACAGGGGAAGGTGGAGACAGGGAGACAGGGGAAGGTGGAGACAGGGAGACAGGGGAAGGTGGAGACAGGGAGACAGGGGAAGGTGGAGACAGGGAGAGAGGGGGGGAGGGGAGACAGGGGAAGGTGGAGACAGGGAGACAGGGGGAGACAGGGGAAGGTGGAGACAGGGAGACAGGGGAAGGTGGAGACAGGGAGACAGGGGAAGGGGAGACAGGGAGAGAGGGGAAGGTGGAGACAGGGAGACAGGGGAAGGTGGAGACAGGGAGAGAGGGGAAGGTGGAGACAGGGAGACAGGGGAAGGTGGAGACAGGGGATGGTGGAGACAGGGGAAGGTGGAGACAGGGAGACAGGGGAAGGTGGAGACAGGGAGACAGGGGAAGGTGGAGACAGGGAGAGAGGGGAAGGTGGAGACAGGGGATGGTGGAGACAGGGGAAGGTGGAGACAGGGAGACAGGGGAAGGTGGAGACAGGGAGACAGGGGAAGGTGGAGACAGGGAGACAGGGGAAGGGGAGACAGGGAGAGACAGGGGAAGGTGGAGACAGTGAGACAGGGGAAGGTGGAGACAGGGAGACAGGGGAAGGTGGAGACAGGGAGAGACAGGGGAAGGTGAAGACAGGGAGAGAGGGGGAGGGGAGATAGGGGAAGGTGGAGACAGGGAGACAGGGGAAGGTGGAGACAGGGAGACAGGGGAAGGTGGAGACAGGGAGACAGGGGAAGGTGGAGACAGGGAGAGAGGGGAAGGTGGAGACAGGGAGAGAGGGGAAGGTGGAGACAGGGGATGGTGGAGACAGGGGAAGGTGGAGACAGGGAGACAGGGGAAGGTGGAGACAGGGAGACAGGGGAAGGTGGAGACAGGGAGACAGGGGAAGGTGGAGACAGGGAGAGAGGGGGGGGAGGGGAGACAGGGGAAGGTGGAGACAGGGAGACAGGGGGAGACAGGGGAAGGTGGAGACAGGGAGACAGGGGAAGGTGGAGACAGGGAGACAGGGGAAGGGGAGACAGGGAGAGAGGGGAAGGTGGAGACAGGGAGACAGGGGAAGGTGGAGACAGGGAGAGAGGGGAAGGTGGAGACAGGGAGACAGGGGAAGGTGGAGACAGGGGATGGTGGAGACAGGGGAAGGTGGAGACAGGGAGACAGGGGAAGGTGGAGACAGGGAGACAGGGGAAGGTGGAGACAGGGAGACAGGGGAAGGTGGAGACAGGGGATGGTGGAGACAGGGGAAGGTGGAGACAGGGAGACAGGGGAAGGTGGAGACAGGGAGACAGGGGAAGGTGGAGACAGGGAGACAGGGGAAGGGGAGACAGGGAGAGACAGGGGAAGGTGGAGACAGTGAGACAGGGGAAGGTGGAGACAGGGAGACAGGGGAAGGTGGAGACAGGGAGAGACAGGGGAAGGTGAAGACAGGGAGAGAGGGGGAGGGGAGATAGGGGAAGGTGGAGACAGGGAGACAGGGGAAGGTGGAGACAGGGAGACAGGGGAAGGTGGAGACAGGGAGAGAGGGGAAGGTGGAGACAGGGAGACAGGGGAAGGTGGAGACAGGGGATGGTGGAGACAGGGGAAGGTGGAGACAGGGAGACAGGGGAAGGTGGAGACAGGGAGACAGGGGAAGGGGAGACAGGGAGAGACAGGGGAAGGTGGAGACAGTGAGACAGGGGAAGGTGGAGACAGGGAGACAGGGGAAGGTGGAGACAGGGAGAGACAGGGGAAGGTGAAGACAGGGAGAGAGGGGGAGGGGAGACAGGGGAAGGTGGAGACAGGGAGACAGGGGAAGGTGGAGACAGGGAGACAGGGGAAGGTGGAGACAGGGAGACAGGGGAAGGTGGAGACAGGGAGACAGGGGAAGGTGGAGACAGGGAGAGAGGGGGGGAGGGGAGACAGGGGAAGGTGGAGACAGGGAGACAGGGGGAGACAGGGGAAGGTGGAGACAGGGAGACAGGGGAAGGTGGAGACAGGGAGACAGGGGAAGGTGGAGACAGGGAGACAGGGAGACAGGGGAAGGTGGAGACAGGGAGAGAGAGGGGGAGGGGAGACAGGGGAAGGTGGAGACAGGGAGACAGGGAAAGGTGGAGACAGGGAGACAGGGGAAGGTGGAGACAGGGAGACAGGGGAAGGTGGAGACAGGGAGACAGGGGAAGGTGGAGACAGGGAGAGAGAGGGGTAGGGGAGACAGGGGAAGGTGGAGACAGGGAGACAGGGGAAGGTGGAGACAGGGAGACAGGGGAAGGTGGAGACAGGGAGAGAGAGGGGGAGGGGAGACAGGGGGAGACAGGTGAAAAGGGGGAGGGGAGAGAGGGGTAAGGGAGAGCGAGAGAGGGGAAAAAAATATTGCATAGAAAACATAGGGGAAACATAGACGTGGAGTAGGGAGAGAGGGGGTAGAGAGAGGGGGGTAGAGAGAGGGGGGGGGGGGTAGAGAGAGAGGGGGGGGTAGAGAGAGAGGGGGTAGAGAGAGGGAGTTCCGCCATGCGCGGCTGACCCACGCCGTGCCGGCCTTCAAGGAGCAGTGGGTGCTGGAGGAGGCCGTGTGCTCGGTGGCAGATGACGGAGAGCTCTGCATGCAGATCTAAGCTACCCGTCGGAGGCCGTTTGACTGCGGGGAAGGGCTGCTTGCAGATGCAGCACTTGTCATAGTTTCATAAAAACCCACGAGTAAGAGAGAGAGGTGGTGAACCAGCTGGTGATGTCCATGCTGTGGCACCGACTCTTCTCCCTGCACCCCCCCCATGAGCCTCGTCAACGCACTTCAGAAGCGAGTCCTCGACTTCTTCTGATCGGGCGGAGGACACCGGGTCGCGGCTGGGGTCCTGGCTCTGCCACTGGACGAGGGCGGTCACGAACTGGTGTGTGTGTGCAGAGTCAGCTGGCCACCTTCCGACTGCAGGCCACGCAAAAGTTCCTGCACGCCGCTCCTGCACCAGCCTGGAGCGTCACGGCCTCCTTCCTCCTGAAACAGCTGGAGGGTCTGCAGTGCTCCAAACAACTATTCTACATGGAACTGCAGGGCCTCCCACTGGGACAGCTGCCACCTTTCTACAGGAGCGTCCTGCAGACATGGAGGTCCATCGCCGTCAGGAGACTGAACCAGCCGCAATCGGCCGAGGATCTGGCCTTCGAACCGATCCTCAGGAACCCACAGACAAAGCTGCCATCCACCACCGCCACCCCAGGCATGGAGAGGCGCCTCGCCAACGCGCGGCTCACCAGGATGGGAGATCTGGTGGAGCCTGAAACACGGGGCTGGTGGCTCGGACCAGCAGACATGGCTGCAAAGACAGAGCTGCAGTCGCTCCGGGTGGCTGCCCGGATCCTGGCGGAAGCCAAAGGGGCCTTCTCAGCGGCAGCGGAGAGAGCGCCCCCCATCAGCGTTGGGGATGACGAGGCCCCTGTCGGTCCCCCTCCACCGGAGCTCTCAGTCGTGCCTCTGCATCGTCAACGCCGACAAACGAAGGCGGATCACAACCGGTGCCAACTGGAAGACCTACCAGAGGTGACATTCGCAAATCGAAAGAGGAAGATGCTCTACTCGTACATGGTCCGGTTTCACCAACAGGACACCCTGAGGAGCCACAAGGACCATGTCTGGAGGAAAGCCCTGCCCTGCGTCTCTCCGGAGAGGCCTCGCTGGCGGCAACTCTACTCCAGCCCGACGTACAACCGTATCGGCGACCTCAGCTGGAGCATCGCCCACGGCACCGTCACCACCAACGCCTCCCTGGCGCGCTTCACCGACACGTCCCCGGAGTGCCAGTTCTGCGGTGAAGTGGAGACGGTGGCGCGCCAATACGTGGAGTGCAAGAGCCTGGACTCATTGTTCAAGGTCCTGAGAAACATCCTCCTAAGGTTCAGCCTCCACTTCTCCCCGACGGGTCTCATCTTTGGATACCTGAAGGGCAACGGACCCCAACATTTTCAGGGGCTGGTCAACGTGCTCGTCGGCTACGCCAAGCTCACCATATACAGGGCGAGGAAGGTGGCCCTGGAGGGGAAACGTCCGGCCAGCAGCCTGGGCATCTTCCACACTCTGGTTGGAGCCACGGTGTGGCTGGAGTTCCTCCATGCATGGCTGACCCACGTCGTACTGGCCTTCAAGGAGCAGTGGGCGCTGGAGGAGGCCGTGTGCTCGGTAGCAGATGATGGAGAGCTTTGCATGCAGATATGAGCTATCCGTCAGAGGCTGATGGACTGCGAGAAGGGCTGTGTGCAGATGCAGCACTTGTAGTTAAAAGAACGAGACAGAGAGTGAGAGAGAGAGAGCGAGAGAGAAAGCGAGAGAGTGAGTGAGAGAGACAGCAAGAGAGAGAGCGAGAGGGAGAGCTAGAGAGCGAGAGAGAGAGAGAGCGACATGGAGTAGGAAAAAAGGGGGTAGAGAGAGAGGGGGGCAGAGAGGGGGGTAGAGAGAGAGGGAAGGGGTAAGGAGAGCAGAGCGAGAAATCTTTTGTTAAATCTTTCATTTAAAAGGGGGGGGGCGGTTTACATAAAGCAAAGCATTAAAAAACACACAAAAAAACGAAATGATGAAGGAAGCAAAGTGCCGACTACACCGAGCATATTCTTGTTTCCTCTGATCGTAAAAAAATAGAGGGAGGGGAGAGAGGGAGATGGTGTGACCAAAGTGAGGAGAGAAATTGTGATTTTGAGAGTTTGAGTTGAGTCTACAGAGGGAAAAAAGTATTTGATCCCCTGCTGATTTTGTACGTTTGCCCACTGACAAAGAAATGATCAGTCTATAATTTTAATGGTAGGTTTATTTGAACAGTGATAGAATAACAACACAA